TTTGGTAAAAAAGGAGATAAATGGGAATATGCCAATTTCATATATGAAGCATTGTCAGATATAAAAAAAATAACGTTTTGATAGGGAATATTATATAGATGAATTGTATCTATAACAAATTGAGAAATCATTGAGGCATTAACATTAGGTATAAAATTTGTTCTAGCTAATTTAGTTTGGTTATCAAAACTAAATAAAATATTAACAGCGTGACGACCACAACGGTCAGTAGTCTCATCAATTGTTAAGCAAATACTTTTGTTAACTATAACTGTCTTCAATTTTTGAAATTCTATTTCATACGATAATGGAAGATATTTTTCACGAAGCTGATTTGCTCCAGTAATTAAGCCTCCTATAAAAATAAAAATGCAAATGGAAATAATTATATAAGTAAATTATTGTAATAAAGTAAAGTTAGTTTAATTTAAAATATAAAATTCATACCGTTTTTACAATATTTTAGTAAAAATGGTTTTAATTTTTCAATCTTCTCTAAAGGAATATCTGCAGATGTGAAAGCAGCCACTACATCAGTATTAACTCTTTCTCTTTCACTTATTGTATTTTCAAATGATGGTATAGTTCTTTGAATTGGTGAATTAATATCGGTAGTTTTATTCTTAAGGTGTTTTACTGTACGAAGATGTTTATCTACAGTATCTTTTCTTTTATGTTCAACTCCTGTATTGCAAAATCGACACCACAGCACATTGCCTTGTACAATATAATTCTCTCGATACTCTGCACTTTGTGACAAACGTACATGTGGAGCAACCATTTTTATAGAAAAAAAAAATTAGAACAAAAATGGTTAGGATTAGAAATTTTTTCGGCTAAAAAAAAAGATTTTATTGATTGTCCAATTGAAATCAATAAAGATTATCCAATCAAATTAAAAAGTCGTGAAAATCGCAAATTTTTGTTAAAAATCGTGACCGTGATAAAATCGCAAAAAAATTGCCAAAATCGTGATAAAATCGTGATCAACCCATCCTGGACACCCTACTTAGCGGTAAGATCATCTCTCTACGATTAATATTGGCGAAGTTATGATACAATAAAGTTTTAAGTATAATTCTTTCTAAAATTATGTTAATTTTTGGCCTGAATTATGATATACAAATATAAGAAATTTTTTATATAGTCACATCTCTTTATAATCACCAAATATGGACTGTCCCAAATGTGTGACTATAAAGAGAGTTGACTGTATACTGATATATATAATTTTAGAAAGATTTTATACAAAAATATCAATAGTTTAATACTTTTCTCTAATAGAATTTTAAAATAACTCTATAATTAGCAAATAAATAATTGTTAAATTTTTTACTAATTCTGTAATTTTATTAAAAAAGAAAAACTTTACTTTTTTTAACAATACTAATCAATTATTACTATTATTATTGAAAATATTTTTAATAAAGTTGTATAGTTGTTACAATTATTTATACTATTATTATTTTTACAAATCATAATATTTTTTAGTCATTATATATATATTAATTAATTCTATATAAGGTATAAAGCTAATACCGTAAAGTCCTGATTATAAGTACTTCCTGAATATAAGCATCCCCAGATTTTTATATTACCCGAAAGTAAGCACCCTTGACCAACACTATGATAATTTTGGCCAATACTACAATATACTAAATATATAAATTTACCCAAATATAAGCAAAAAAAGGTTGCTTATATTTGGGACTTTACAGTATTTATTTTTTTTATTTAGAATTCAAAAATTTTATTAAGTGAAGAAACCTTTTTTTCTAAAATACTTAAATAATTAAATCTCTCTTTTTGCTTAGCTTTTTCAATAAATAACTCTACACTGGTAAAAAAATGGTCTATCCTACACATATCCTACACATATCTTACATATATCGGGTACTCAAAATGTAGAAAATCATACACATATCATACACATATCGGGTACTTATATATATAGTATACCTATCAGGTACCTGATATATGTATGATATATATATTAGTACCTGATATGTGTATGATATGTGTATTATTTGTGTATGATTTTCTACATTTTGAGTACCCAATATGTGTAAGATATGTGTAGGATAAATCATTTTTTTACCAGTGTCTGATAAGGCCATACAAACTTGATTTTATGGTTTTCATAATATAAAAATTTCATCAATAACCCGGTAACCCGGCTTTTAATTTTTTTTTTCAAAAATTTTATATGCGAAATTTTTTTTTAATTTTTAAAAAATTCTCACCCAGCATAGTAATAATATAAAAATTTTTTTTTAAGACTTAACAAAACTGATCCGGCCGGACTATGAAAACCATTTTTACTACTTTGTGTCGCCTAATTTGCACTTCCTATATTTTTTTTTGTTGGCTATTTTACTATCATACTTTATAAACTTTTGATTAATTTTACTAAAATGAGGTTATTATAAATTTACAGACAATTATAAATAGTTTTTAACAAAAAATCAAAAAAAGAAAGTGATATAAACCTTCTTTCATATAATACTAAAGATTAAATAAAAATAAAAGAATGGAATTCTAAAATATTTTTTTAAATAAAATATGTATTTTACTATAATACTTTAATAAATAATTAAATAAATCCACTTATAGTATTATAAAAGAAATAAGTATAAAAGGAAAGCATCTATATAATCATTAGATTATAAAATTACTATTAGATTAAAGAAATACCATTACTGTTAAATTATAAAATTACTGTTAAATTGTATTATTATCTATTATAATATAATAGGAATTAAACTAAAAAGTTGTAAAATAAAGTGTTACCAGTAAATTATAAAATTATTATATATTAAATTATATAATTAAGTTATAAAGTCACTATTAGATTATATATTTAAATTATGAAGTTACTATTAAATTATAAAGTTATTATTAAATTATGAAGTAACCATTAGATTGTAAAATTACTATTAAATTATAAAATTACTTAAAATTACCTTTATAATCTAATCTAAATTACTAGTAATTTTTTAATATAATTATATTAAAAATTACCAGTGAAGCAGTGATTATTTTTAAACTTTTTAAAATAATATTAGTATATAAAATATATTTAAATTTTATTAATAAATTTTCTAAAATTTAAATTATTTATAAACTTATAAAAATTTTAAATTCAAATTTTTTAAATTTTTAATAAATTTTATAAATATCAGGAATTATTATTAATTAATTGGTTAAATTAATTAAATTAATTGTCTGAAATATATAAGGTTGCGAGTGAAACCTATAGTAAACACGAAACTTGACAAAACTATATTAAAATATTAATAAAATTTTGGCAAAACTGAGGTTTAGACGTTTTGCCAAATTCAAAAACCAGTTTAGCTCCATTCTATTCAAATCATACATGTGTTATCTGTCTATATGTGTATATGATTAATAAAATCTTAGGATCAGGTATAATCTTAAATTTATTTATATGTATAATACTTTTTGTTTATATCCTCTAATTTAAAATTTCTTAAAAAAAATTTTTATGTCCTTTAAAATTTCTTAATATTTCTTAAGTTTTTTATGCCATTCAAAAAATAACAAATAAATTTTTTAATTTCTTATATAATTTTTACATGTTTTTTATGTTTTTTAATTTGTATTTATTTTTAAAATAAAAATCAAAATAAAAATAAATAAAAAATAAAAAAATAAACCAATTAATTTCAAAAATAGCACTGAGTTTTTAATTGTTGTGTTGTTGATTTTTTACATTTTATAGTTTATAGTTTAAATTTATGGGCATATGATTTATAATGCTTCAAATGCATCAATGGTTACTATTTTCTAGTCAATTAACCAATTTTAAAATATTTTAATTGATTGATTTGATTTTTAACAATAATTTATTAAATTGATAATATTTTGTCTTAATATAAAAGTCTTTAGTTATATTTTTCAATAATTTAATAGTAATTATTTATTAATAATATAAATATAATTTCTTTTAATAAAAGTCTTATTTTATTATTCCAAATAGTATATTTATTATTAAATTAAAATTTTAAACTTTCTGGTTTTTTTTTACATTAATATAAAAAGTTAATAAATCTAATATATCTAATTACATATTTTAATACAAAAAATAAATTTATATTAAATAATATTCTATATATTTTTTAGTTTTTTTATAAGTGTTTTTAATATTTATGTTTAATTTTAAAAATATTTTTCTTTTATAAAAAATTTCTATGCAAAAAATTTTTTTAAAGAATATAAAAATTTTAAGAAATAATTACAGTCAGATCTCTAACTGCACTTTCTATAATTGCACTCATACACCCTCTGGTTTGGTCTCAAGTTTATATGATCTCTAATTATTTTACCTCTATAAATGCACACTCTCTTAAATGTACTATTTTGAAAATTATGCATATGGTTTCAAGGGATGTGCAATTATGGAGGTCTGACTGTATTTTAAATTAATATTTTATTATCAAAAGAACATTTATTATTAAAATTATAAGTTTCAGCAAGATTTTACTATAATTTTGGCAGAATTTTGCAGTTTATCATTTATAATACTTTTTTGTTAAATTTTATTTTCACTAGAATTAGCATTATACCAATTTGCTAAAATCTTAAAAAAAAAAATAGATTAACCATCTGTCAGCTTATAATTTATATTAAATGAAAATTATTGTTACTTTAAAATATAAAAGCGCATCCAATTCTTTGATAAAGTAGTTTAGGCCGAGATATCACATAGAAACTAACAACCATCATTTCCTGCAACGATTTAATTTAAGTTATTTAACACGTATTAGGAAAATCAGACGTCTGGAGAAATATTGGAGTAATTTCTTCGATACTTTCCTGCATAACTTTGTTAACGTTAATCCATATATCAATTCTGTACTCGTTAAAAGCATTTTCTTCTTATGCTCTATTATTTCTATTATTTCTCAATAATTACAATATACAGTACATGGATTTCTATAGAATTGTACTTTTTTTTATTTAACATTTGTCCAACAACATAATATAAAAAAAAAGAAACAGAAATAATAAATAAAATGTTTTAAAGAAAATATGAAATATCTAGTAATTTCTAATTTGACACGATAAATTGTCGTTTTCTAATTCTTTTGTTATTTCATTTTCTTCAGACTTGATAGTTTTATTTTTTTCGGAGTTAATACTCTTAAGAGTAGAAACTATTTCCGAAATATCTGGCCTGTCCTTTGGTTCAAATTCCCAGCATTCTATATAAAATATATAAAGATTAGATATGTATTTTACAAAAAAAATAATATACTGTTTATCTTTACTAATTTTTATACTTACTTTGATAAAGCTCAACATATTCATCGTTTGTTTCTTTAATAGGAATTTCTCTTTTACCATTTATAATGCAGATTTTTAGAACATCGTCATCAGTCTCAGATTCGAAAGGTAGTTTGCAACTTGTTAATTGCCATAATAATACCGCTAAGCTATATATATCAGATTTTTTGGTTAAATCATACGAATGATCCTTAAGAATTTTTGGATCCATGTACCGCATTACGCCATATGGTTTTTCTTTTTTGTTGATAACCGATCCGTGTAAACGTGAACATCCAAAATCTGCTATTTTTATCGTACGTTGATGTATTAAGACATTGCTGGGATGCTAAAAAAAAAATGTATTAATTATAATAAACACAAAATTATGAAAACGAATATATATTAAAAAATTTATTGACTTACAAGATCCCCATGTATAATTTCATTATCATGTAGACATAAAATCGCACTTGCCATTTCATTAGCAAATTTCATTTGATCTTGCCACTTAAACGTCGTAATATTATTCTTTAAATATTTTCCTAATGTTCCACTATCTGCATATTCCAGAACGAGCGAATAATTTGGTTCATCTAATAAATATACAATACTTTTAAGTATTTGTTGATAACATGTCTCCAGTTCCTTCAGAACGATTTGTTCCATTTGCGGGGTAAAACTAATGGCAACTATATTCTAAATTCATTATTTTACCTTTGAATTTCGTAACTCCATAAATTTTGATTATATTTGGATGCCGATTAACCATTCCCATTAAATAAACCTAAAATTAATAGAGCTATAATTTATCTACATGTCATATATTTATGTAACAAAAATTACAAAATTAAACCTCATTAATAATGATCTCTTTCATATCTCTCATAGAATCATTGCGAAATCTTTTAATAACATGTATTGTTAATGTATTCTTCCAATTTGCAGTATAAACTGTAGCAGATCCTCCAGAGCCAATAGTCACAGGAAGAATATCAAGTTCTCGAGGGTCATAATAATTTATTATTTGTGATATCTTGTCATCCAATAATATCTTTAGAGTATTTTTGGTATCACCGTCTTCGAGGTACAGCTGTTACAATGATGTCATTGATGGCGTTTTGTTGCATTTAATCATAATGGGTGGTGCTATATAGTTAGCCCAGGGGTAAAAAAAAAAACCATTTTTATGGCGCAGTATTCGGATTTTGGTGACTGTTGTCTCTTTGTGAACCCTAAATTTTTAACAATTTTTACCAGCGAAATAAAGGAATGTTTTGGTATCGAACATAAATAAAAGAAATAGAAAATTAGATATTTTCAATACTGAAATATGGCCAAAATAAATACTTGTTATTCCATGGGTATCAATGAATAAGTGAAATATTCACCGATGCCTTGGGGGCCCTCCCGAAGGGAGGGGTATTTATTAGATACCCATGGAATAATAGGTTTATCTCATTGTATACACCGATGGATTTTATACTCGTATGGGGCCGTTGCATACATAGTAATGGGAATCAAACACTATTAAATTATCACATGCAAACGAACATATCCGCCGATATGTTTTTTATACTTTTTTTATACCGGTGGAATAATTTACAAAAAAATCCATCGGTGTATACATAATACTGATGGGATAAAAGATTATTATTCGTTCAAAACTGAATACAGTGAATACAACGACCTTTATATAACTAACTTTTTTCTTAATTTTTTATAAGTTCGGTGTATAAAACTTAGAAGAAAGAGAAAATGAAAACAAAAAAGCGAAAGTTATGTGTAGTGGTATATAAATATTTATGGCCGCATAATATTGCATGACCCCTTAAAAATACATAGCACTCCCTAAATTACACAGTGCTTTAATAAACATATAATTTAGGAAAATATTTTATAATTTTGGCCAAAATTTATATCATATAAAAATTATAATTCCAATTATAAATTATGCAGTAATTCCTTACGATTAATCATAAAAAGTGACTACTCTGTAACAGAAATGCAACGATAAAGACGAATAACGTGAATTATTGCGACCAATATTACTTATTTACGTTAACTATTCTCATCTTACACGTGGGGAGTTAGAAAGGTAATATCTTTTTAATGAGTCTGAGAATGCAGGTTTAATTAAAGTTGTATCATCCTAATACGGTTCGTATTTCCTTGTTTACAAGAAACTATCTGACTGTCCTTTCTGTTCTGAGCATTAGTTTATATAAAGAAACACAAAGCAATAATTTTAAGGATGCTATGAAGAACGTTATCTTCAGAAATCAAGACACGTAAATTACGTGAACATTCCAAAAGAATACACTTCAGGGATATGTTCTGGTAATAATTTGATGTGATTAAAATTCTCACATTACCTGAAGTATAGTGAAACTACTAATTAATGAATTAATGAGTATAATATACAACGAAGTAAATTTATTACCTACGCTAGTTACGCTAGCCACACCGTAATTTTGAATAAAGTTAGAGTAATTAACAACGATTCTCTTGTTATTTCTACCATGGCAAATAATTAAAAGGGATGTGAGATCTGAATTATTCATATGAAAAGATCATATTCAGCCGTAACGCCACAATCAATGGCTGAAGTCAAGGGACGTAAAATTCACTAGAATCTTATACCACTGTAATAATGTAGTAATTGTTAGTAACAGCCAACAGGTAATTTATTAATTAATTAATTATCGTAGTAAATGTTAATAATGTAATAAATGTTAGTAATGGATAATTTATTTATTAATTAATTATCATGGTATTGCAATCCGCCCATATATGGCTCCTAAATTGATTTTTTTAAAAAATGTGATTTCGCTATTTATATATTAATTTTATAATTTTGACTCCATAGTGTTTATTATTTTTGAAATATTTATTTATATAATTTCGGGATTATGTTTGTAATATTTTTTTTATATAAAATTTCGGGATTATTTGAAATATTTTTTATATAATTTCGGGATTATTTTTGAAATATTTTTTATATAAAAAAATTTTAAAATAATTATAGAATTCAAATAATTTCGGATATAATTTCGGCTATTAAGTAAATATGGAAGATAATTTCGGGATTTCGGGATTTCGGCGAAACGATGAAATCGAAATCAATGTTACCATGATCGAATCGGATAACCGACGGATAAACCGCAGAAATTCGCGAGGATTTTTATAATATTGCCATGACGGATAGACGGATTGCTTGTTTGATGCTTTGAATCCAAAAAAAAAAAATAATAATAATAAAATTTTATTAATAAATTTTAACACTACAATTTCATTAGTACAAATCTTTAATTAATGTTGATTATCGCCGATCTTAAAAAAAAATGGTATAGGATTACTAATCTTTGAAAATTAATTGGTCAAATCTAATTTAATACGGTTAAAGTCTATTCCGCACAACAATGCTGAAAAAAAAACACAAAATGATTAACAAGACGGTTCTTTGGGGATTGATTTTACAGATTTACGATTTTATGGGTTCAACAAATTCCAAAAAAGAAGATTTACAGCATTTACATAGAGAAGGTTTTTCGATTCCAAGAACTTAATTTTGGAACTGTTTATCTTTATCATGAATCTCGAATTAGATTCACTTAGAGTGAAAAATGTATGGAAATCCTATTATTGATTTGATAAAGATTTGTAAAATTTTATTAATAATAATATCAAAAAAAAAATCCTATTGTATAAAACTGCACCTATGATTAGTTTTTGAAAAATGTTCATGCATGAATTTCAAAATAAGTTCAAGTTTATCCTGAATCGACATTAACCATTTTAAGAAATGCCGATACCAAAATATTGTAAAATAAAGAATTTAAGAAAAATTCGATAGAAATAATATTTGTTTTAACTTGTTATAAGGTAGTTTCTTCAGTTATTGATTGAAAAAGGCTTAATTTCATGAACGTATGCTGCTTTGTTAAAGAAACTTTTATTGATAATATCATGCTTTCAACCGTAGGTTTCGCAACTTCTAAGATTGACACTTTAAAAAAAAAAATTGGGGTAAAATCGTAAAAATCATGTCATATAACTAAAAATTTATAATTATGGGAGAAATCGTAAAAATCATGACATATATTATAAATTTATAGTAGCGAATTTCTTGAGAAAATGATATTATTTGTTATTTTTTAAGATTGACACTGTCGATATATTAAAAATTGGGGTGAACTCTAAAAATCATGCCATAACTAAAAAGTGGTATGATATCAATTCATAAAATTTAGGTTTAATTTAAGATGAATTTTCCCTGATTAGAAATGGAACTAATAATGAATAAAGACAAGCACCATAATTTATTGGTCTAACATAATCAACAATTATCCGTATGAGTAGATTTACCAAAGCATAATATTATTTTTAGAATATCGATGGCATATGTTAGGATGATCATAATATTCTAACTAGAAAGAATAATACATTTTATATAATATTTGGCGCAGTCAAATATCTTTCAATAAAGAAAAATATAGTTTAATTTATGCATTCAAAATTGATGTCAAAAGATCTAATTATAGAGTTCATAGACAATAATTAATTAATTAAAAAAAAAAAAGATCAGAAGGTAATAAATAATATATAATATATTGTAATTTTCGTAAATTTTCATAAATTTCATATTTTTTGTTATTGTTTATGGTTACATAAAATAAATATATCGATTTCATTGTAAATACCAAATACTATGAATGTAATAATGAATATTAGATTTATATTTGTTATACATGCATTACATATATTACATATATTACATATATTACATATGTTTATTTTTTCTCTATTTTTAAAGATCTTCAAGTCTAAACCCAGGTTGGGCTTCATAAATATTTAAAAACATTTCTTGAAGAATTCTGAAATATTTTTTGAAATACGTCAAAAAATATTGTGTATTCCAATATGATTAACCAGAACAAGAAAGTGAACGACATTTTAGATCATGTTCTTTCCTATTTAGTTAGTTGATACAATTTATTTACGCTAAACATATAAAGATTTTCCCGATGATTTCATTTTCAAAAATAAATTATTAATTTTTATAATGAATGTCAAAAATTAGAAATTCCACAAGTCGACATTTATGATTATATTATTAAAAAATAATTATTATTTCTAAACTCATTCTAATTATAGTGTAATATGTAAGTGATCAAATTATTATGAATTATTCATGCTTCGTTTCGTTATTTTTATATATTCATTTTTAATTTTCCTTTTTTATATAACATGAGTACATGACCATATTTTACTATATTTTAAATATAATATTAATATAATAATCAAAATTATTCCCATTTAAAAAGAATCTAACTACCATAATATTAAAATATTGTAATTCAGGGTATTGTTGATTTTGAAATCATCTTTATTTCATTGACAAAGAGTATCAAAGAGTATAAAAGTGTTCTAAAGTCTAAAATTAAAAAAAAATTAAAGAGAAAACGATGTTCTAAATTAATGATACTCATTTGAGCTCCTAATCGAGAATTTCGTTGATGATGATCAAACGCGGCCGTGTATTACAAAAATCTCCACTCTTACTTTTCCAAATAAGGTACATAATACTACAATACTTACTCAAGGAATAATATATAATATGTAAATGACGCAGCAAATTTTCCGACTACAAGGGTTTTTTCTGTTACACATTATCTATCAAAAAATTTTTGTTTCCCAAATATATATAACTTATTATTTTTTCTTTTGTCGTTTAGCTTTTGTTTATTTTGTTTCAAAAAAAAAATCAAATTTCTTTCCTTTATAAGATCCTTACGTTTTAAAAGAAAAAAGAAAAATTCTTTTTGAATTGTCTTTTTTGATTTTTCTCAAACAATTTAACTTGCAACTTGTTTGGGTCTATAAATAGTTATAGTAAATAAGGATCGTAATTCATTTTTTTTTTTTATATAAAAAAAACTTCTTATCCTTTTATTTAATCATTGTAATTATTATTGTCATATATCGGGGGATATTTTTTATGGAGAGAAAAAGTTGCTGAAGAAGAGAAATTTTCTTTCTCGTATTGTACTGTATATTATAATAAATAAATATATAAAAAGTATTTTAATTAATTAATTTTTATTAAAAAAAAAAAATGGAGAATAATGCTAAACCCGCTGGCGGTGCACAGATTTGGAGGAAAGAACTTTATTCTATATTAGGGGCTTTCTCATTTCTTTACCTCTCTATAACAACTGTGTTTTTTTATATCCGAAGAAGAAGAATTGCTGATATTCGATATAGACCATTACGTCTAAACATTTTAAATGTAATAGCTTCGATTACGCTGTGCGTGATGGCTTGTTTAAGAACTGCTTTCTACCCAAATTTTCCTTGTGCATTAGTTAATTGGCCCGCATATATTGGTTTCTTCTTGTATTGTAGTTCTGTAACTTGTAGAGTTATATCATTTACTTGGATAGCAAAATATAATTTAGCAAAATTGAGATTAAGCATCGCTTATACTCCTTCATTAAATCTTAGTAATCTTAGTAATAATAGTATTAATAATAATTTTAATAATAACTCGCCAATATCTCCGGGAATAAAAGAGAGATTAGAAAAGGATTTTCCTGGAGTTAAATTAATGAATAGATTAAAAATGTTTAAACATTTTACAACTGATAAATGGTTAACGTACTGGATTATATTTCCCACGATGCTTATGGCTTTAATTTTTGCTCTCGTGGAACAATTAACTTCTCCTAATCTTTCAATAATACCATTAAGCACTAATTGTACTCCTGCTGGAATTGAGTAAGTTATTCTTCTACGTCATTTTACCGCGATAATGTATTTATCCACGTGACATTCGTTAATCTTAACATTTTCTCTTTTCTTTTAGATATATTCCATTACATATACTGAATGGAACATTTCTTATACTTATAATTCCTTTTCTTATCTGTTTAATATATAATATAAAAGATGCTTATGGCCTTAGAAATGAATTAATGTTTAATTTAGTCAGTGGCGCGATCGCATATATTGGATATTTCATGATTGAATTAGTATTTCCACGATGGAAAAATTATTTTGGTAGTCTTATGCTTGCTTGGGTGACATTTATTATATGTCACACGGTATCCATCACAATACCATTAATTCAATCATTTAATAATAAAGTGTATTCCCTACCAAACTCAATAAAATCATCTAAACGTGCAATAAAAAGAAGCCTCTCTACAACAAAAAGGAATAATCAAAACAATCAAAATAATATTGTTATTGGAGATGGTAAATCTAAACGTTATTTAATGTTTGAAAAGGTTCTAGAAGATTCTGAATTATTTGAACGTTATAAAGGTAAGCAAAAAAATTATTTTACCTATTTTTTTTCTATAAATTTTTCATAATATTAATATACAATATATAATTATATTTTTTTAGTATGTGCCGCTGCATGTTTCTGCGCAGAACTTGTAATTTTCTTACAAGAATATCAATACTTGAAAATATTGGTTGCTCATAGTTGCACTCCATCAAATAAAGAAGTTCTTCCTCCTCCATCACCTGTACTTCACATAACAGAAACTGGTCATGTTACATTTCCTAATAATTCAGATTTATTAAATACTTCAACTGCGACATTAGTATCACCAACATTTGTAACTACTCCTTGTACTAAATCAATAGCTGAAACTGTAACAGCTGCTTCTTGGATACCTATGCCATTTGAATTACGTACTGATTATAGTACTTTTTATGAAACATTTTTTGATTCAAATTCTGATTTAGCCATTAATTTTCCTGGTTGTTTATTAAGTGATATTAAAGAGATGGTTAAAGATGAAAAATATGAATTAACAATGTATGAAGAAGCTAGGGAAGAAGTATTAAATTTATTATATAGAAATACTTTTGAAAGATTTTTGAAAATGTATGGAATAGAAATCGAAAAAAAAGGAATATATAATAAAGGATAATTTTAGTTAGAAAAAAATGTTTAAAGTTAGATGTTAGATTTCTTTAAGCGAAGGAAAAAAACATTGTATTATTAACCATTGTATTATTAGTTTATTACTTTATTTTTTTGTATTTATAATAATATATATATATGTATTTTAGAAGATTCATTAAGCAGTATTTTATAATATAACCCTTCAAATAATAAGTAAATATCTTAGCAGAAACCAAATTTTCAAAAATTTTTTTTCCAATTAAAAAGCGGTAAAATCAAATATATTTTATAAAAATTTGTCATTTTTTCATAATTTTTTTCCAATTAAAATTATCAAGCGGTAAAATCAAAAATATTTTTTAATTAAATTCTATCATTATAATTTCAGGTTATAAAAATTTGTCATTTTTCATGATAATTTTCATTTCAATTATAAAAATTCTGTCATTTATCATGATAATTTTCAGTTTATCACCATTTCATCGGGAATTACCGTAAAAATTATGACTATATATAAACGTGTATGCATTTTCGAATAAGTTTAAATGACACAAAATTAATTTATTAAAATGGGAAAGGTAAATATATATTAATTTTTTTGGAAATGAAATTTATTAAATGAAGTTATTTATATAAATATATATATATTCTATAATTACATTTTTTTTTATATATATCTAATTGTTGTATTATAATTTGCATAATATGTATAATATATCATTTTTTTTTTATATTTTTTTTTACAAATGTCTCTTCACTTATTTGCCGAAATGAGGTAGAGTAGTATAAAGCTTCTCTTCACTTTTTTCAATCTTTTCTTTCACTTGATTAACTATCTTTAATGCAATTCTCTTGCCTACATTTTTAGCAAGAACTTTCATTACGCTGCTACCAAGCCCCGAAGATATAAAGGAAATTCCATCTGCATAGCCCCCAACAGCCCCTTCTCTAAATCGTTCTTTTGCAACGGTTGGCTTTCCTAACGTATAATAAACACCAGAAGAGATCAATTGATATGCTGAACCAACAATAGGCACGAGGCTAACAATTTCTGATACATTCGTCTCGAAGGCTTGACTTGAGCTGAGAACTTCTAATTTAATACCATTGTTTCCTGGTCTCAATAATGTATCTAATAAACGTTCCAAACTTTGATCTCTTTGCCTTTTTTCAGTTTGAGTGAAATCACCATTATTATTCCAAGGAAAATCGACCGGAATAATTGGATGATTTCCGAAATTTTCCTTTATTGTTTCATAGTTTTCCTCAACCCATTCCGGTTTACTATGGGTGATAATAATGTTAAAATTTACTTCTCCCCCTTTAAAAATCTTTTTAAATATCTTGAACATTTTAGCGTCTTCTTCGGTAAATCTGTCTTGCTTTTTAACGTAACATATATAATTAAGTGGAACCTGACATCTCGAAAAATAATCTCTTATCCTTTTTATGGCTTCCTTATGTGGAACACTACCAGATGATGATTCTCCCAATCCAATTGTGTCAAATACTTGAAATATTTCGTTAACGCCACTGTGTATATTAATAGTTTCTCCTTTCGCACCATTATTAACTTTGAACGCGTTATTTTGATGAATATCTCCTTGAATCAACATGTTAGCGATAGAAGACTTGCCATGTCCAGTAAGTCCAAAAAAAGCTACATTTATTCTTTCACGTTGTACTATAATATTAATATGTTCGTTCCCAAGTTCGTAGGGAAAATATTCAGAAATATTCTTTTCTCCATCCAACTCTTCACCTTCAAGTTCTTCCTTGATACTGGCATAAAGTTGAGCATTGAGAATGTTTAACTTGTCATTTGGTTTTTCAAAAGGAATGTTAACCTTCCATAACTGAATTTCATTAGCGGACAAGTTCACAAAGTTATTGTGTTTTTTCTTCTTAATTTCTTTCTTGAGTTCTTTAATAGACTTGTTTTTTTCAATCTTAACTTTGAAAATGTTTTTTGGATTAGGATTTTCGCATTGGACCAAACAGGTAAGAGTAATAGGAGACATTGATGTTTTTCTAGGATTTTTTTTATCTTTTGGTTGAAGTTTTTTGGAGGGTATTTATGGAAAAAAATATTTTTTAGCTTATTAATAATAAGCGAATTGACTCTTCCATTTATGATATTGGCTAAGTAGGATCATTAAACAATAGTGGTATTGATAGGTTTACAATGGCTGAAAATTTCCAGACAATATCCTTAAATGGACATTATTTTATAAAATTTTGAACTTTTATCATATGATTAATCGTGGCGTGTCTTTAGGACCTTATTGTTCGGGTTCTTGGCAAAGGTAGGACAGGAAGCTTGGTAAAATATGATGATTGGTTATGGTAATTTAAGAAACCCGAAGATACTTGCTACGTATGGGTAACAAGATTATTTTTATTTGCCGTGGTGAGGCACTGAGGCTTTAAAAAAAAATTCGAGAATTTCTTATGGAAGAATATGCTTAATTTGGACTAGGTTAGGTACTAGGAAACTTTACGATATGAAAACGTCATCAACTCAGGGTTTAAGCCAAAATTACAAGGATCAGCTGCATGTTGATCCATTGAGATGTAACAACTGGTCTAAGAATAATGGAATATACAAAAATAAAATAATAATCTAAAGAATTACTTTTTCTGTTTTTAGATATTAATGATTATAAAATCTAAGATTAATGGTAAAACCTGATCGGCATCATGATGAATTTAATCCCCCGCAATCACGGGTCGCATCGGCTAAGTAAAAGAGGATCGACTCTGACATTCTTTCTGTTTCATATTGATAATAGTTACCATTTTAGAATTGATTTTTATAATTTTTATAGTAAAGCCGCGAAATCCGAAATCCGAAATTATCTTCCGAAATTACATTTTTTTCAAAAATCAATTTATGAGTCATAGACACTCTGACATTCTGTTTTATATTGTTAATGGTTACCATTATAGAATTTGATTTTTATAATTTTTATAGTAAAGCCGTGTCTTTGTCGAAATCCGAAATCCCGAAATTATCCCGAAATTACATTTTTTTTCAAAAATCAATTTATGAGCCATAGACACTTACCATAATTTTTTTCTTTTAAATAAAGAAAAAAAAAAATTTGAAAATGCATTTATATAAATAAATTAAGAATCAATTTTTTAAATTAATTTGAAATTTAGAAACAAAAAAAAAAAGAATGAAATAATAAAAAAAAAAAAAATCAAAAAAGTTCTAATAAAATTATTTTTAACTAAAAATAATATAAATTTATTAATAACTAATATTTCTCACAAAAATATATATTTAGTAATTATCTAATAATAATTTGTTATTATTATTAATATTATATTAAAAAAAAAAAATAATTAATTTATTTATTTTAGATCATAAAGTAATTCATTTAATTTCTTCATTGTTACGAATAAACCAATCAATTGAAGATAAGTTAGTATTCAATAATTGCGATCAAGATAGTAAACGGGTTTAGCCATGTTGATGTATGATTTTCTGGACAGAAGTTGGTAACCAGTTTAAAAGATTATCAATTTAATACAATTGATAATTGATATACCATGTAACGTAGGAATTAAAAATTATAACTTTAATCTTTCGATACCATACGTACTTTTTTGCAGATACTATAGTTTTTTCTGATATACTACATTTATTTTGTGTATCGCTGACATTTCAACAACTGTGTATCGCTTTGTTAAAAAGATCCAATTTGGAAGATACCAAAACTAACGTTGATTATAAATATCGGGTATATAAGAATATGAACAAGTATCAAGTGAATAACTAAGCTAACCGCACTTTATATTTATTATTCAAACGAAATTAGTGAGAGTTACCACCATTGTGAATATTTATAATAAAATCATGAAATATCTCATAAGAGCAATAGAGCATTCAGAAGACGATTACGCATAAGACGATTTAAAATAATGTGATATCTATGACCTTAAAATAACATCATCCTAGCCCACTTTATAACAATTTATGAGAATTTGGCCAAATGATAAAAACTTTGACTAGAATATGTGTGAAAAGGGTGCAAATTATAAGACGACAAATGTAAGTAAGTAACGCTGCGGTGTACGTTCAGAATTATTAGCGGGTAGGAAATTGGTGTGTAAATGCATTTTTCTTCAAATTAACCGGAATATTAAAAAATAAAATTAATTATCATTTATTAAATCTTTTTAATCTTTTTGAAGATATCATTAAAAATCTATCCGATTATATTTCCTATTCCTGAACAATTCTAATACATAATGAATTATTATTTTGTTACTATTTACTTACTGTATATTAAAAAATTACAAAAAAATTATATGATACAAAAAAAATAAATAAAAGGCGCAATTAATGGGTTTACTATTAACGAAGTGAGGTGATTACATGATTAGGAGAATATATCTCCAAAACATCGCAAAATAAGTTTAACGTAATCTATCATCTTCATTCAGACATAAGATGGGTAAATCAGCGGTTGGATCATATTTACTCGTTTTTTGAGATTGTTGTGTGAATATATTATTCCTATTATTTAGAAAAAATAAATATATTAAAAAAAATTTTTTTTTTTTTTATTGGGCAATATATATATATATATAATATATTATTCATACATACCAAACTGCTTTTGCTAATCTTTCGTGAGCAAGTAAAGAAGGGTGAAAACAATCAATACCACTTAATAAATCCAAATTACCACTAGATATATCCATATTTTCCATACCAGGATCATAAGTTACAATAAAATCTTGATAATTTTTTTCTTGAAAATCTGATGTAATTTTTTTTAATCTTTCATTATATTGATCAGCTAAATCATCCATAGATTTTCTTGATTTATCACCCAAAGGTCCTGGAACAAAAGCACATTGACATTCTAAAAATAATCCTGCCACTTTACCCAATACACAATTTTTATCTTTTAAACTTGCTTCAAACATTTGTGATATTTTGAATACTGACATTAAATTTATGAAAACTTTAGGAACATTTTTACGAATTTTTTCTAATCCTTCACGAATATGAGATTCAAATTGATCAGGTGAAAATTGGAGTTGTTTGGATAAATCCGTACATCCATTACATAAATCGTTATTACCAAACCACATTGTAGCAAACTATAAATAAGAAATCATTATAAGTTATTTATACACGAAAAGAATTTTTTATTACGCAATAATGGAAAAAGAATCATAGTTACTTTACCTTCCAATCATTTTTCACATCAATATCTTTTCTTTGAGAAAGTTGTTCAATAAGATAATTCACTAATCAAATGATTTTAAAACAAAATAAGTTATTTTAAAAAAAAAAAATATTTCAATAATATATCGCATAAACTAACCTTGTTTGTCAACATTTAATGCCTGTGCACCACTTTGTGCTGCATTTAATTGATCCAATTTTGGAATATAATTACTTGGACATAAGATACCATAACAAACTTCAATAATATGAGTTCCTTTTGAATCTCCAACTAATTTTGGACTAAATTTTCTGAGTATATTTGGTATCGAGACTACATCAGGATCGCCTCCCACTGCGAAATTAGCTCCTCGATATTCGTCCAATGGTTCCTTTCCATCTTTAAAAATTTGACCTAATTTATCAACACGAACTCCGAATCCAGCTAAAATTTGAAATAATAAAAAATCGTTTGAGTAAGCGAGGTTATTCCAAAAATTATTTTTAAAAAAAAATTCAAACATAAAAAAAAAAACTATTTACCTATAACCGAATCACCTAAACCCATTATAACCTAAAAAGAAAAAGTTAATTATGATTGATTAATTTTTTTTTTTTTTTTTTTTTTTTATTATGTTGAAAAAATAAAATAATTCGATAATTAATTACCTTGATATCATCTGCTCTCAAATCTCGAACGTTTGTCGGTGGAGCTGCTCTTGGAGGTAGTGGAGGACACTTTGAGATATCATCAACGAAAAGACGATCGTTTTGTTTGGTATTAGTTCCATTTTTAAACTTTGGTGCTGGTAAGGATGTTACTGCGGTAGAAAAAATTGTAATCCATAATAATAAGATAACGGAAATACTTGGTGCGGTAGGGAAGGAAATGTGTTTGTATGTATATCGATCAAGTTTCATGGTTTTTTTTATATAATCTATTTATTCTAAATTTATGATCTAATATCAAGTATCTAGAAGAAAAGAATGTTAAATAAAACAATGCTAAAAAGAAAGAAAGAATGAATGAATGAAAATGATGAGGTGGGATATTAAGAGAAAGAATAATGAGAATGCCTAGCACTGCTAGGTGTTTGTAAAAAAGTAAAGAATGAAAAAAAAAGGAGGGAAAATGTACCCCACCTCAAACTAAAAAAGTAAGAGAAAGAAAAAAAAAGGTAAAAAAAAAAAAATTGGAAAAATTGGGAAAATAATTTAATTTCCACATCAATTTATACAAATCTTTGACCGCCTTTTTTCTTTAAAAGTATATTACAACCGGGAATTATAGAAGATCTTTACATTGTTTCAGTCAAAAAAGCATTTTTCACCTAATTCGGATTATAAACACATTAAGATTACAAAATGTTAAATGTTACACAAAAGATAAGTTAGTGAAACAATGCTCATGTTCATATTAGGATATTTTCAATTATAAACTTGGTAAAGAAAATAATTTAATTACCTTATATAGTATAATACTATGGTTTTTGTTTATTCAACATCTGCCAAGAAGATTTCTATATACGTTTTATAATTCAACAAAATTATAGATAGATAATAAATGGTTAACAGTTGTTTAACTTGAAAACAAAGATAAAATCCAATAGACTAAAATCATTCATAATTCTGTAATACATTGCGTATAAAACTTTGTTTTTTTTTAACATCCGGATCAAGAAATATTGTAACTGCCCTTTCCCAATTCAAGTATAATGTGTCAAGATCGACAAATCAGAGTAAACCTCAATTTGTAATTAGGGTATTTACCATAAACCTGTCAGAAATAATTAGTACAAAAAGTATATAATTTAAAGTATTATTAAATATGATTATCAATCAAATATAATGTCAAAACCCATGAATAGTTATAAGTTTAATTAGAATAATAATGCATAATATAGCATATAATTTAAAAGAAAAAAAAACTTATACTAATAATACTATCATCAGCTATTACATAATTTGTACAATTAAAGAAAAAAATTTAACAAATTCTCGTACAATTACAGGTAAATAAATATATATATATAATATATAAACAAAGATATACGTCAAATGACTTATCACGAGGAACTTTTTCCAAACATATTATTGGCCATACTTATAAAGCTATTTACACGCCTAGAACTTTTGGAGGTATCACGATTTTCGAGAAGTTCTAAAGATTTTACTTTAACCAAATCGTTTGTTGCTGATATATTATTAGTATCAGAGATCTTAATTTTTCCTCCTTGTTGTTTAATTATATTTGATAAAGTATTTGTCATAACTTCAATGGCAAGAAATGAGGAACCGGAAGATCTTTTTGATTCAATATCATCATCACTCATTGAAGTTGTTTCTGATATTATATCCCTCATTTCATTTGTCCTTTTTGCAAGTTTTATAGGATTTTCATTTTCATCTTTTTCAGCATTGAATTTTCGTCTATGATGAAAAACGAAAATTATTGCGGCAATTATTAGAAGACACATTGTTACTAAACAAACTATTATTGGAATAGTTTGAGTTGAGGAGTGTTTTCCAGTTACATGTGGAGAAGGTATCGATGTTACCGTTTGCGTATCGAAACCTAGAAAAAAATTATAATAAAAAATTAATAAATGCATTGTTGGATTCTACTATGGTTATTAGAAAATAAATTCCCATGTATTTTGCGCGAAAAAAAAATAATAATATAATTACCTCCATTTACCGATGAGATAGTATTTGTGCTTTCTAACTTATTCATTATATTTTTATCATATCTTATAATTGAAGGATTAATATTCTTTTTAACGGAACTTAATGATTTTTTAGTCCTAATTTCTCCCCTTATTTTCATATTTATTGAATCTTTTATTAAAAGGATTTAATAAATATGCATAAATAGCTTTAAAATGAAAAGAATGAAGTGGTTTAATAATTTAAATAATTAATAATTAATGTATATAAGACGTACTTCAATAAGAGCAAAATACGTTTATAAAAATAATTCATGAATTTTATTGAAAAGGAACCAAAAGACGAAAGCATGAAGGTGATTGCTTCATAAAGGAATCGCCACATTACTATTGTTGGACAGGAAACTGTAATATGGTAATATGGTTTTTTTAAATTCGGAAAAAATAGTTACAGGCATGATTATACAGATAAAGTGTATTATACTATCGTTTATTTAAAAATTATTTTTCGTACGACAAACTTAAAATTATTTAATTAAAAATGTGTTCATAAAAATTAATTAGAATGAGACGTAGAATTAAGAATTGTGATATCAATTTGATCAATCAGTTATCGTTGCACGCGAATAAAGTTGGCTTGAAACCAAACAAACACAACGCCAAAGTCTTTTTCCATTGTTCTTTCGATTCCCCTCAACTTTTTTTACTATAACGAATTTGAAATAAACGTATGATATTTCTTTATATTTTCGTTATATTGAACATACCTTCATATATCGATTATTATGAACTTTTTTTAAATTTTAAATTTTAAATTTTTAAAGCATGACGAGAAAAAAAAAAATGAAAATATTATAAAACAAATTATTTTCTATTTATTTTAATATTAAAACTTAATATAAATGTAAATTAATGTTTCAATTTGAATATATTTATTTATTTTGGTCCCGAAACATCCGTTTTTTTATTTATTTATTTTTTATTATTTTTGTTTACATGTTTTAGTGACCAATATTAATGTGACTTCTTGTGTCACATTTATCATCATGACACCATCTTTTAGTCTAAACCATACTTGGTTAATCATATTTTTGTAAATTCTTTTAAAAGATTCTTGGATGTTTATTGATGTTATTGAAATGCACTTACTTTGGTCGAAAATTGAAACATCAATAGGCTTGTTTTTTCATTGTTGACAATTTTGTAGATCAAATAATTTTTAAAACATTTGTTTCCCAACTTAATCTTTATCCATTAAATTTTGTATAACACTCAATAATCAATAATATTTTAAGGATTTCCCAAGAAATATTTTAAAGTATTTGTAATAGTTTATTGGTTGAGAGAGTTAAAAGTATTTAAGAAAGGGGTAAACTTTATGGTTAAAGCACAGGGAATGGTTGGATAGGAATTATCTTAAAAATATTAGGAGTAGTATCACAGGTCTAGATATTAGTAATGATGAATATGATTCTGATGACGAGAAATTATCCGGTTCTCTAAAATTGGAAAATTTTCACTGTCTGGAAAAATTAAATTGCCGTTATAATCTATTGACTAGTCTGGACTTAAGCAATTCTTATTTATTAATTGTTCCGAAAATAAAGATGTTCCTTTAATCAATTAGATGAGTTGAGCTTGGTTAAAAATAATGATTTAACTATGATTTATTGTTGGAGCAATCATATATCCAACTTAGATTTAAATGAAAATGTCAAGTTAATTGCTCCTGTAATAAGTTAGAAAGGTTAAATCTAAGCAAAAATATTAGCCTAGAAGATTTAACTTGTCGAGATAATCTTTTAACTAGTTTAGACCTTAGTCAAAACAGTCAACTTACTGAACTGAGTTGTTCGTTTAATCAAATAAATGAACTTATTTTTCCTGCAAACAACAAAATTGAGATTATTAGTTGTATTGGTAACTTATTAACTCAATTAAATTGGAGCAGACTTGACCCCAACAAATTAAAGATGTTGTTAATATCCGATAACAACTTTTCTCGCCAAAACTTGGAATTTTTAGAACCATTTACTAATCTAAGTCATTTATATTTGGGCACAAGCAATAAGGAATTAATTCAACGAGGTATTTATAATCGTTTTCAAGGAAGTTTGAAGCCTTTAAGAAATTTGAAAAATTTAGTAAAATTAGATATCTATGAAACAGACATTGATAGTGGTCTAGAATATTTACCAAGTAATTTAAAATCTATTATTATTGATCGTTCTGAACCGTACCGAAAAGAAGCAAAAGTCAATCAATTGTTTTCGAATCTAAGACCTTATCGCAAAGAAAGTTTTTCAATGAAAGTTTTTGAACCTGATTTTATTGAATTTTATGATTTACAAGAGTGGAGAAAGGCTAATGAGAAATTAATAAAAAAAGTCAAAGAGGAAATTACGAGTGAGGTTCTTTTAAAAGAAGCCAAAGAGCAGATTTCACAATTGCAAAAAGAGCTAGTAGAAGAAAAAAATAGAAGACTTGAATTAGAACGACAACTAAATAATTTGCAAATTAGTGATCAACCAATTACCCAAGTTGTTCAATCTACTTCCCAATCTTGGAATAAATAACCATCCCCTACTCCGGTCGAAAAAACTAAACTCGAAATTTGCCAAAAAAAATATTTGTTTATCAGCAAGACAATAATTTATCGATGAAATAATGGGCTCGAGAGATAAATAATAAGATATAGATAAATTATAAGATATATTTTATACTTTATTTTATACTTTGATCCTTAAAATTAAAAAATTACAAGTGAAATTACAAATATTAAAAAATGTTGAAAGTGATCTAAACTATATTTGGACAGAGAATTATCGAGAGGTATAAAAAAGTCTAAACTTTACCGACGTAACTGCCGTAACAAAGTTACGTCAAACGTTAATAATTTATATAATATCGAGCTACGTCACGAGTTACAACCTTTCATTGACTTAATGAGTGACGTAGCTAAAAAAAGGAATAGTCTGCACCCCTACTAAATTGATTACTAAAATATTCAGATGATGGATTTATTAGTCGTTTATTTTTTTGTAGTGGAGGACTTATTTGTAGTGGTTGTAGTCCTCTACTATCAGCATCTTCAAACTGACGTTTTCTAAGTGGAGATGCTGTAAATATATGAAGTTCTTCAAGTAAATCCAAAGTGTTGGGTCGATTTTCTGGATCATTATCTAAACATTTTTGCATCAGTTCATGATAGCATTGCGGATTGTTAATGTTATAATAGTTGCCTAATGTTAATTCCCGCATTATAACACCGAGATTATAAATATCTGATTTGATAGAAATTATTTCTCCTCTCAAATTCTCAGGAGCAATATTACTAGTATATACATAAAGTTCTTTTCTCATTTTATAGTCACTATAGATACATGAATCCAAATCAGAAACATATATTTCTAGCTTATGATTCAAATCATCTTCTTGAAGTAATATATTTCCCGAGTGTAAATTACGATATACGTAATTTGTCTTATGAATATTATGAAGTAGTTCTACAATTTTTTTTAATATTGACAATCTTTCAAACCAACTCAATGGAAATTTATTTTTAATGTATTGTTGTAAAATTCCACCGTTTGCGTATTTTAATACTATATAATAATATTTTGTTTTTGGATCTTGAGTAAATCCATAACAACATATGATAATATTTTTTAATTCTAAATATAATTTTAGTTTATTAATAGTTAAATATTTAAGTCTTCGTAAAATTATTTTAACTGGTCCTGTTCTCGCCCATTGCTGAGATCTGTTGTCCCATAATTCTCTACTTCCATCTAACCAAATTGCAGTATAAAATTCATAATATAAACTGTGCATATTTTCTATATTATTAAATCGATTAAAATTAATCCATTCAAAATACGTATCATTTGTTATCGCACTAAGTTGGGAATATTGAATAAGTTCATCAAGACTTTCGTTTTCACTCGTCCAATTAGGAAAATCTTCTTGGAATTTTTGAGCTTCACAATCATAACACCAATTTTGATCTGTGAATTTTGAATCACATCTTTTGCAAGTTACATTATTTGTTGGTAAGATTAGATCATCAGGTATAGTTAGAGAAGATACATTATTAGAATACTCTAAAAAAATAATAAAATTAATTTAAATGATTTTAATAAAAAACACTATTACTATTTTTTAATAAAATTATAATAATACCAGAAGTAGAATCCCTTGATGTATCACGATATTGGAATAGGCTAATCGTTGAAATTTTATCATCCTCTTCAAAGACCGGTTCAAGTGACATAGATTTCAATCGTGAAAGAACTCCTTCGATTAATGGTCTAGAATTTGGTTCTGTTTCCCAACAACTTGTATAAATATGCTTGTATTCCATTGGAGTTCCTTTGACAGATTTTTCTTTTAAACCTTGACAAATCTTAAGGGTCAGACACGCTAAATCCTCTCCATAAAAAGGTGTTTGGCAACTTGAGATTTCCCATAATATCATTCCTAAACCATAAATATCAGATCTTTTATCCAATATATAATTTTTTCCATGATTTAATTTTTGTGGATCAATAAATGGTATCATTCCAAAGAATTTATTATTAGATGACATTGTGCTATTCAAATTCTTAGACAATCCAAAATCTGATATTTTAATATTTCCATCGTTTATAAGTATATTTTTGGTATGCTAATTATAAGTGTTACAGAAATTAAATAAAGAACATCGGATATTTTTTAGTTCAATGATTACCAAACAAAAAAAATATTACCAGATCACGGTGTGCAACATTTAATACTTCATGAAGGTATCCAAGGCCTTCCACAATTTGAACCGCAAGCCGCACTCTTTCCTCCCATTCAAAGCAATTATCACAACTCTTTTTCTTAATCAAAAATTCACGTAAATTTCCTTGGTTTGCGTATTCCAGTACGAGATAATACAATCCTTCATCAATATCTTTATTAAGTATTTTTTATAACATATTAGAAAATTAAATTTATATAATTACAAGTTTAATTAAAATAATAACTAACTTCGGCTTATTCCATAAAATTGAAGTATTCTTTCATGTTCTGTACGACTATGAATTTTTAACTATAATTGCATTTTAATAATAATGATGATAATAAATGTAACATTATAAATTGAAATGGATTTTAAACTTAAATACCTCATTAATAAAATTTTTAATACAAGCTTCATCGTCTTCAATACCTATTGTTATTTCTTTAATTGCTACAGTTCCTATAGAATTACATTCTGTTTTATAAATAAGACCAAATCCACCACGTCCTATTCGGGTTGGCTTTCCGCTAAATTTTTTATAAAGTATTTCATTGATTTTAAACTTTTTAATAGCGGTCTGATACCAGTCTTCGTTTGAATTCATATTCTAGAGAACGAAAATGTTGGCTATACTGCCCGTTTTATATATGTGCAGATTCTTCACATGATAAAGTAAGATACCTTCGATATGTAGATTTAGTGTAACAAAAGGCTATATACTTCTACGCTTGATGATGTCATGTCCAGACTGGATGTCGTGTAATTCGCTCATCCTGAAAGTTCCTTATTCCATTACTCCGTTTTACCGAATTATATTCATAAATGCATATTCAATAATGCTATAAACTGTAAATCTATAATATAATGCTAATGTTGATTTTTTAATGGGTTTCTTTTTTTATATCGCATAACCCTCCTATTTTACGGTATTTGAATTACGGCATTACGCATAAGATCCATATGCCGTAATCCGAGGAAAAGTATAACAGTACTCTCAGGATGGAAGCGCAGTGCGATACGGTAAACATTTATAAGACGAAAATAAAAAAGTGCCAAACATTATAAGACTCGTTTAAGGCAACATATTCTTTGCGATCAGTAAAATAATGTTATGAACCATAATTTAAAATTTAAAGCTGAAAAAATACGCCATCAATTTAATCAGATAAAATGCAGTAAAATCGGTATAAACCGTAAAATTTGAAATCATTATATAAATATAAACTGTATATTCGATATTATTTTAAACAATTAAGATTAAAAGCATCTATCTAATGCGTAAAATGGTTTGGTATAGTTGCATACTTATATTAACCTGTGAATGAACCAATGATTTAAGATGTATTATCCGTTATTGTATTATTTCAACCTTTTAAATATTATGAAATCTAACTGTAGATATAATCTTAAATTATAAGCTAATAAAATTATTATCACTTCTATCAATCATTTCATGGTTCAGGTACATTGTAGAATTGAAGTTGTTTAAGTTGTTTATTAGTAAATCTGAATCTAATTTCTCCAGCATAACTTTCTTTGACATTAATTGATGATTTGGTTATTACGTTATTATCTTTCAATTGTTTAGGTCTAGTCCCAAGAGGTTGATCGCGTAATTCCTGATCAACATTATCAAATTGTTTTTTAAGAGAAGTTGTAGTAAAATTTTCAAGCTCATCGAGTAAATCTTGAGTAGTGGGTCGTTTTTTTGAATCAGGATCTAAACATTTTTGCATTAATTCATGATAGCATTCCGGAATTCCAATTATATTATTTGGACGTACTTCATTTTTTATATCACGAATCAACTTATCCTTATCATCAATTTCATCATAATCAGAATATGGTTCATCTCCTGATGCCAATTCCCACATAATAATACCAAGACTATAAATATCTGATTTAATAGAGGTTGAGTTTCCATTTCCCAATATAACTTCAGGAGCAACGTATGGTAAATTACCATATTGTTGTTGTTCTATTTTAGTACTTAAATTTGCACATGAATCCAATTCAGAAATATATACTTCTAAATTACTACCTTCCCAATTATTTTCTTGAATTAATATATTTCCCGGATATAAATCACGATGTATATAATTTGCCTCATGAATATGAGAAAGACTTTTTACAATTTTTTTTAATAATGTTAATCTTTTAGTCCAACTGAATGGAAATATTTTCCGAATATATTGTCTTAAATTTCCACCATTTGCATATTCTAACACCATGTAATAAAATTTTGAATCTCGTGTAAACCCATAACATCGTATAGCACTTTTAATTTCTAAATGTAAATTTAGATTTTTAATGGTTGACTTAAATCTAAATTTTCGTAAAATTATTTGAGAATCTTTTGTTCTCTCCCATTGTTGGGATTGTTTGTCCCACCTTTTTCTTATTCCATCTGTCCAAGTTGCAGTATAAATATCACAATATGAACCTTGTATAATCCATTTTTTATTTTTAAATTGACTATAATCAATCCATTCAAAATATTCATCATGGTTTTTTACTGCTGCATTTATTTGAGAAACTTTAATAAGCTTGTCAAGATCTTCGTCTTCACTTGTCCAATTAGAAAAATCTTCCTGTAATGCATGAAGTACACATTCACAACACCGGTCATGATTCATGAGCTGTTTGCCACATTTATTGCATACTGTATTTGTTGATGATGTAGTTGGGTTTGTTGGACCATCAGGGATAATATAAGAAGCCATAGAAGGATTAAACCCTAAAAAGCAATATATATATTTAATTAGTTTATTTGATCATATTAACATGGAAAAAATAATAATAGTATGTACGCTATATATAATAATACCAGAAGTATTTTCAGGAGATGATGGTGGGTAATATGTTGGATATTCATCATCTCCTTCAAAAACTGGTTCAAGTGACATGGATTCCAATCGTGAAAGAACCTCCACGACTAAAGGCCTAGAATCTGGATCTAATTCCCAACAATCAACATAGATTTGTTTGTATTCAATTGGAGTTCCTGTGATAGGTCTTTCTCTTAAACCTTCACAAATAATCCTATAAGACAAAAGTTTATAATCCTCCCTAATAAAAGGTGTACGACAACTTGAAATTTCCCATAATACCATTCCTAAACTATAAATATCAGATTTTTTATCCAATACAAAATTTTTATTATTCAATTTTTGCGGATCGACAAATGGTATAACTCCAAATGCTCTATTATCAGTTGATATTGTTGTGCTATCCAAATTTTTGGATAATCCAAAATCCGATATTTTAACGTTACCATCGTCAATAAGGATATTTTTCGTATGCTAAAATATATAGAGAAAGTATATATTGCATTAATTCAAATGATGATGTTGCATTCGCCAATCATAGGCGCACTGTCATTTAAACATTCCATTCCTCATATATTTAAGGATTATTACCAGATCACGGTGTATGATGTTCTTTTCATTATGAAGATAACGAAGTCCTTCCGCGATTTGAATTGCGAGGCGTTTTCTTTCTGCCCACTTAAATTCACCTTCTTTAAATCGTTTTGTGATGAATTCACGTAAATTCCCTTGTTTTGCATATTCTAGTACGAGATAATGCCCTTTATGTTCATCTTTATATTTTACAGTACATATTTTATAATTATGAATATTGAAATTAAAAAAGTTACAAATTTGAAACAGCATTTTAATGATTACCTCGGCTTATTCCATGGAATAGAATTATTCTTTCGTGTTTTATTTGACTATGAAGTTTTAGCTAGTAAAATTTATAAATCGTATTTAGTTTTTAAGTAACATAAAGTAAATTTGGATATTATTTTAAATTTAAATACCTCTTTAATAAAACGTTTAATATCAACTTCAATATCTATAGTTATTTCCTTAATTGCTACTGTTCCTAGTGAATTACATTTTGTTTTATAAATTTTACCAAAACCGCCAGATCCTATTTTTTCTTTTTCTTCACTCAGTTCTTCATAAAGTATTTCTTTAATTCCATAATCTTCAATGGCAGTTTGATACCAATTTTCATTAATCATAATTAAAAATGAATTGAGGTTTCTATAGATAAGCTCAATTCCTACAATATATATATATTTATTTATGCCGATTATTTTCCTTATGGATATGATGCTTCATTATCATTGAATTACTTCTAAATTAGGCTTTTCGTTATCATGAAACATTACAAAATTTTCTTATTTTAATATTTATTTTAATGACATGAAACATTAAAAACATATGTTTACTTACACTATGGCGTTATTGCATTATTATTTCTACCATTTTTACATTTATAGAATTTTAACTTTTTAAAATGGATAAAGATTCAATTAATTAAAAATTTTAAAGCAATTTTTCTATTGGATATTATCATCATGTCATAGTTGTCACACCGACTGATAAGATTTTTTTGAAAGTTAACTCACACAACCTACGTTACAAAAAATCCAAATTGCTTAAAAAAGAATTGTGAAAGATAAATAATCTCATGTTAATATTGTCTGAATGGTTTCCCAAAGAATTTTAATTATTCAGAATTTCTTTTTTCAAGATCTCGTGCGCCTGAAAATTATTTGAATATACATATATGAAATTATTGAGAAATTTGTTTTTATGATTTTACTGTTACTAGTTTGCTAATTTTACTTCGTGTTATTGAATTTCAAATTTATTACATTACATTAAGAAAATTTCATATTAAATAAATATTAAATATATTCTTTTAAGAAAAATTAACAAATGCAGTCTCTTAATCGGATATCTCTTTCTGAAGTAAAAGAAAATGATTATATAATTGCAATTATTTATACTTAGTTGAAAATTATAAAGAATATAGGAATTTTACCCAGAAAAAAACTTTTTCATAATTTTTACTTTGCGTTATTTAATATCATATTTTAGTCATTTATTTTTGTTCAATAAATCTCATTAAAATGTAAGCTTTTAGCAGTAGCGTTTTTGGTTCAGATTGAAATGAGAGATTTGTTAGTAAATCAATAAATTGCTTAAACTTCTACAACACTAATTGCTTAGGATAGGTCTAGTCTCAAGAGGTTAAGCGTGTCATATTGTCAATAAAAAAAGCAATTGTATTTTATATCATAGCACTTGGTTAACAACGGACAACGGGTAAGAACAAAACCAATTTAGGTAATTCTTGTAAGAATTTAGATCAATTCTCAAATTGTATTTAAAAATTAATAACGATAATTCTTTTGCATAATAGAAACCAGAGAAATTATTTTATATTGAGCTTGATTCATTCAAATAATAGTATACATACTAAGTACTCAGGAAGGAGATTTTTAAGATTTATTATTTTCAAAAAAAAAAGAAAATCTTTAACTATAATGCGATATTCTTATTGTATAAACCAACATTAAATTAATTGCAATGCAAAAATTAGGTTCGTGAAAAAAAAAATTTCTGAATTCCGATGATTATTATTTTATTGGCTAATTTAAGTGTAATATAATTAACATACTAAGTTTTAAATGTAAATAATTATTTATAAATATATATTAGATATGTAAATATTTTCACAAATCCAATTTTTTAATTGTCATTCATCTAATAACCCTTCGCCATTAAAAATAAGCTTTTTTTCATTAGCATTTTTTGGCTCAGGTAAGCTAAAGTCGAAACCTAAAAATAGTTGTTCCATCATAGTAAGCTTCCGTAACATTAATCGATTCTACAATTATTTTGACATTATCCTTAGATAATTGATTAGGTCTGGTTCCGAGAGGTTGATCGTATACTACTTCAAACTGGTGCTTTTTAAGCGGAGCTGTAGTAAATGCGTGAAGCTCTTCAAGTAAGCTTAGAGTGGTAGGTCGTTTTTCTGGATCAGTATCTAAACATTTTGCATCAATTCATGATAACATTTTGGAGTTCCAATTACATTATCATTTGGACGTACACCATTAATTATATCAAGAATCAACTCATCTTCATTATCAATTTCATAATCGGAATATGGTTTGTTACTGCTGCATTTATTTGAGAGTCTTGAATAAGCTTGTCAAGATCCAATACAAAGTTTTTTTCGTTATTTAATTTTTGCGGATCAACAAATGGTAAAACTCCAAAGAATCATTATCAGTTGATGATATTGTTGCGCTATCTAAATTTTTGGATAATCCAAATTCGATATTTTAACGTTATCATGATCGTTAATAAGGATATTTTTCGTATGCTAAAATATATATAGAAAATATATATTACATTAATTCAAATGTCTTTTAAACATCCCTTTCTTCGTACATTTAAGAATTATTACCAGATCACGGCGTACGATGTTCTTTTCATTGTGAAGATAACGAAGTCCTTCTGCGATTTGAATTGCGAGGCGTTTTCTTTTTTCTCACTTAAATTCACCTTCTTTAGATTGTTTTGTGATGAAGTCACGTAAATTTGTTTTGCATATTCCAGTACGAGATAATACCCTTTATGTTCGTCTTTATATTTTTACAGTACATATTTTATAATTTGTAAATATTCAAATTAAAAGTTACAAATTTATAATGACTATCTCGGTTTATTCCATGCATGGAATTAAATCATTCTTTCGTGTTTTATTTGACTACGAAGTTTTAACCAGTAAAATTTATAAATTTAAGTAATATAAAGTAAATTTGGATATTATTTAATTTTAAATACCCCTTTAATAAATCGGTCTTCAATATCTATAGTTATTTCTTAATTGCTAAGGTTCCCTATGGAATTACATTTTTCTTATAAATTTTACTAAAACCGCCAAATCCTATTTTTTCTATCTTCTTCATTTAGTTCTTTATAAAGTATTTCAGTCTTTAATTCTACAATCTCTAATAGCAGTTTTAAATCTTCATTAATAGTAAAGTTTCTATAGATAAGCTCAATTTTTACAATATATATGAAATTTATGCCAATTATTTTCCTTATGGATATGATGCTTCATTATTATCATGACTTTGAACTAAACTGTTCCCTCAATCAATTAGATGAGTTGACCCTAGTTTAAAAATAATAATCTGTGATTTATTGTTCGAGCAATCATCTTGCTAATTTAGATTTAGTTGAGGCGACTTGACTGCTTCTGGAATAAATTAGAAAGGCTATATCTAAGCAAAAATATAAACCTAAAAGATTTAACTTGTCACCTCACTGAACTGATTTGTTCGTCTAATCAAACAAATGAACTTATTTTTCCAGCCAACAGCAAAATTGAAAATATAATTACTTGTAATGGTAACTTTAAACTGGAGAAGACTTGACCCAACAAATTAAGAATTTTGTTAATAGCCGATAACAATTTTTCTTACCAAGACTTGGAATTTTAGAGATTTACTATATTTGGGCACGAGCAATAAACGAGATATTTATAATCGTTTTCAAGGAAGTTAGATATCCATGAAACAGACATTGATAGTAATCTAGAATATTTAGCAAGCAACTAAGAATCTATTATTGTTATTCGTTCTGAACCATCAATTGTTTTTGAGCCTAAGACCTTATTGCAAACAAAGTTTTTCAATGAAAGTTACTGAACCTGATTTTACTGATTATTATGATTTAAGGAATAGAGAAAGGAATTAAAAAAAAAATCAAAGAGGAAATTGCGAGTTAAAGGAAGCCAAAGAGCAGATTTCACAATTGCAAAAAGAGCTAGCAGAAGAAAAAATAGAAGACTTGAATTAGAACGACAACTAAATAATTTGCAAATTAGTGATCAAACCAACTAAATAATTTGTAAATTAGTGAACAGCAAATTACCCAAGTTGTTCTCAACCTTGGAATAAGTAACCATGCCCTACTCCGGTCGAAAAAACTAAATTCGAATTTTATTTGCCAAAAAATATTAGTTTATCAACAAGACAATAATTTATGAAATAATGGCTCGAGAGATAAGTAATAAGATTATGCTGTATATTAAATTTATTTTAAATTTTGATAAAAAATTACACGTAAAGATTACAAATATAAATATAATTGATTTTTAAAACCGTTAATTGTAAGTTTTAAGTGAGTAGTTACTAAAGAAATTATAGTACATCTGAAAGAAAAGTTGTTGATTACTAAAATATTAAGATGGTGTATTTATTTGTAGTGGTGGACTTATTTGTAGTAGTGGACTTATTTGTAGTGGTGGATTTATTTGTAGTCCTCTACTATCAGCATCTTCAAACTGACGCTTTCTAAGTGGAGATGCTGTAAATATATGAAGTTCTTCAAGTAAATCCAAAGTGTCGGGTCGTTTTTCTGGTTCATCATCTAAACACTTTTGCATCAGTTCATGATAGCATTGTGGAGTATAGCCCCCTGATATTAATTCCCGCATTATAACACCGAGACTATAAATATCTGATTTGATAGAAATTATTTCTCCTCTCAAAATCTCAGGAGCAGTAGCAGCAGCATAAACAGTAAGTTTAGTAAGTACATCATAAAATTCTCGTTTCGCTTTATAGTTACTATAGATACATAAATCCAAATCAGAAATATATATTTCTAGCTTATGATTCAAATCATCTTCTTGAAGTAATATACTTCTTGAGTTTAAATTACCATGTACATAGTTTGTCTTATGAATGTTATGAAGAAGTTCTACAATTTTTTTTTAATATTGACAATCTTTCAAACCAACTCAATGGAAATTTATTTTTAATATATTGTTATATTGTTGTAAAGTTCCACCGCTTGCGTATTTTAATACTATATAATAAGATTTAGTTGTTGGATCTTGAGTAAATCCATAACAACATATGATAATATTTTTTAATTCTAAATATAATTTTAGTATATTAATAGTTAGATATTTAAGTCTTCGTAAAATTATTTTAACTGGTCCTGTTCTCGCCCATTGCTGAGATTTGTTGTCCCATAATTCTTTACTTCCATCTAACCAAATTGCGGTATAAAATTCATAATATAAACTTTGCATATTTTCTATATTATTAAATCGATTAAAATTAATCCATTCAAAATACGTATCATTTGTTGTCGCACTAAGTTGGGAATATTGAATAAGTTCATCGAGACTTTCGTTTTCACTCGTCCAATTAGGAAAATCTTCTTGGAATTTTTGAGCTTCACAATCATAACACCAATTTTGATCTGTAAATTTTGAATCACATCTTTTGCAGATTACGTTATTTGTTGATAAGGTTAGATCATCAGGTATGGTTAGAGAAGATATATTATTAGAATACTCTAAAAAAATTAATTTAAATGACTTTAATAAAAAAATACTATTACTACTTTTAATAGAATAAAGTTACAATAATACCAGAAGTGGAATTCCTTGATGTATCAGGATATTGGAATAGATTAATCACGATCGTTGAAACTTTATCATCATCTTCAAAAACTGGGTTAAGTGACATGGAACTCAATCGCGAAAGAACTTCTTCAATTAAAGGTCTAGAATTTGGTTTTGTTTCCCAACAACTTGTATAAATATGCTTGTATTCCATTGGAGTCCCTTTGACAGATTTTTCTTTTAAACCTTGACAAATCTTAAGAGACAAGCACGCTAAATCTTCTCCATAAAAAGGTGTTTGACAACTTGAAATTTCCCATAATACCATTCCTAAACTATAAATATCAGATTTTTTATCCAATACATATTTTTTTCCATGATTTAATTTTTGCGGATCAATAAATGGTATCATTCCAAAGAATTTATTATTAGATGACATTGTGCTGTTTAAATTCTTAGACAATCCAAAATCTGATATTTTAATATTTCCATCGTTCATAAGTATATTTTTGGTATGCTAATTATAAGTGTTACAGAATTAAATAAAGAACATCGAATATTTAATGATTAATTACCAAACAAAACAAAAAAATATTACCAGATCACGGTGTGCAACATTTAATATTTCATGAAGGTGTCGAAGCCCTTCCACAATTTGAATCGCAAGTCGCACTCTTTCCTCCCATCCAAAGCAATTATCACACCTCTTTTTCTTGATCAAAAATTCACGTAAATTTCCTTGGTTTGCATATTCCAGTACGAGATAATACAATCCTTCATCAATATCTTTATAAAATATTTTATAACATATTAGAAAATTAAATTTATATAATTATAAGTTTAATTAAATAATAACTGACTTCGGCTTATTCCATAAAATTGAATTATTCTTTCATGTTCAATACGACTATGAATTTTTAACTATAATTGCATTTTAATAATAATGATAATAATAAATGTAACATTATAAACTGAAATGGATTTTTAAACTTAATACCTCATTAATAAAATTTTTAATACAAATTTCATCGTCTTCAATACTTATTGTTATTTCTTTAATTGCTACAGTTCCTATGGAATCGCATTCTGTTTTATAAATAAGACCAAATCCACCACGTCCTATTCGGGTTGGTTTTCCGCTAAATTTTTTATAGGGTATTTCATTGATTTTAAACTTTTTAATAGCGGTCTGATACCAGTCTTCGCTTGAATTGCTTGAATTCATATTCTAGAGAACGAAATGCTTTTTTTGTTGGTATATTGCCCGTTTTATTTATGTGCAGATTCTAATCATAAAATTACATCCCACGTGACCGGTGACATTTAAGGGGATGTGTTTTGGGAGCAAAAACCACATTCAAAATTAATGTCCTCCCCCCCTATTTTGAAAATTTTAAAATAATTTAATCACATATGTTCACGTATGTTTAAAGCACCCCTCTCTCTTTTCTGAAATTGGGTGTACCGAATATTTCCGACTTTGCCAAAAACTTCAAAAACTTCCGAAAAAATTATATCACAATTTTTTCAGCCAACGATGAAAACGCAGTGGGTGTGATGCCGGTGATGAATATTTTAGGTCACGTGAGGTAAAAAATTTAAATTTCAGCATATCTATAGATCAAACAATGTGATTAATCAAAATGCAGTAGTAAAATTTGAAATTACTGGGAATTTCTTTATCATAAAGTGGTTTAGTACTTTAGTTGTATACTACATTAACTTATGAATCAACCAATGATTTATTATCCGTTATTGTATCTACCGTATATCGCGGGCCACGATAGTATTCCGAAATTCCAATTATACAATTTGGCGTACTCCGTTAATTATATCACGAAATCAACTTATCCTCTTCATCAATTTCATAATCAGAATATGGTTCATCTCCTGATGCCAAGTCCCACATCGAATTTCAACATCTATAGTTATTTTCTTAATTGCTACGGTTCCTATTTTGTCTTATAAATTTTATCAAACGCGCCAAATCCTGTTTTTTTTTCTCCTCACTCAGTTCTTTATAAAGTATTTCTTTACTAATTCCATATCAGTTTGATACCAGTTTCATTAATTATAATTGAAGAATAAATTAAAGTTTCTTTACAGATTTGATGCTTCATTTATCATTGAATTATTTCTAAATTAGGCCTTCATTATCGTGAAACATTACAAATTTTTTTCTTATTTTAATATTCTTTTGAATGAGTTTACTTACACTATGGCGTTATTGCATTAATATTCCTACCATTTCTACATTTATAGAATTTTAACTTTTTAAAATGGATGAAGATTCAATTAATTAAAATTTTTAAAGCAATTTTTCTATTGGATATTATCAGTTATCCCCTGATCGGCACCATTTACACGATTATGCAAATGTAGTTATACCTACTGGATAGCAAATTTTATATGTATTTATTTATCCGTTTCTAGGAAATTTTGCGGTAAAAATTAACTATTGATTATACTATAATGGACTGATTTGAAAATTTGAGTAATTTGGAAAGATTTGCATTTTCCAAATGAGAAAAACTTTCTTTTAATTTATTTGTAATCTCAATATTATTTTTCAAGTGTATTAGTAATAGTTCCGAAGCTTTTTAAAATTCAATTATTTTTTAAAATCTTTTAAAATGAAAAAAAAAACCAAGCGAAAGAAAAANCTATAAAACACTTACTATTGTGTAAATGGCAGGGGATAAATCAATTATCTCCTGGCTAATTGGAATAGTAAAATTTTACTTAGAATCGGAACATGATCAGCCTTCGGCCGATCATTTATCCAATCCTAGTAAAATTTTACTTATTCCTAATTAGCCAGGAGATAAGTAATACTTGTCACACCGTCCGACTGATAAGATTTTTTTGAAGGTAACTCACACAATCTACGTTACAAAAAAAATACAAATTGCTTAAAAAGAATTGTGAAAGATAAATAATCTCATTTTAATATTGTCTGAATGGTTTCCCAAAGAATTTTAGTTATTCAGAATTTCTTTTTCAAAATCTCGTGCGCCTGAAATTATTTGAATATACATTTATAAATTATTGAGAAATTTGTTTTTATGATTTAACTGTTACTAGTTTGCTAATTTTACTTCGTGTTATTAGAATTTCAAATTTATTACATTACATTAAGAAAAATTCATACTAAATAAATATTAAAATATTCTTTTAAGAAAATTAACAAGTACAGTCTCTTTTCTAAAGTAAAAGAAAATGATTATATAATTGTAATTATTTATACTTGGTTGAAAATTAAAGAATATTTCATAATTTTTACTTTGCGTTATTTAATATCATATTTTAGTCATTTATTTTTGTTCAATAAATCTTGTGGCGTTTTTGGTTCAGATTTAACTGAGAGATTTGTTAGTAAATCTATAAATTACTTAAACTTCTACAACACTAGTTGCTTCGGATAGGTCTAGTCTCAAGAGGTTGAGCGTTTCATAATGTAGTAACTTGGTTAGAGATCGCGGAACAACGGACAACGGGTAAGAACAAAACCAATTTAGGTAATTTTTGTAAGAATTTAGAATCAATTCTCAAGTTGTATTTAAAAAAAAAATTAATAACGATAATAAAGAGATGATTGTTTGGAATGTTCCTGCAGAAATGTACAATGTAAATAATGGGAAGGGTTTCGATTTATGGAAGTTTAAAATACATCAATTTTAATAGGAAACTTAATATACTGTAAAAGTCAATTTTTAGTATATCTCACTCAATACGATGATCACAAAATTGATCAAATAGTAGTAAATCCTACGGAGACTATACATATATTTAATTTATTAGTCCATTGATATTATCGGAGGAGGCCATTCAATACAAAAACACATGATATTCAAAAAATTATTAACTAGGATTTGTTTTATTCCTAGAAACCCTAATAATACTAATAAACCTCTCAAATATGTTTATACTTATTTTTTGAACGATGATGATTTACAAACACGATGTGTACTGATTTTAGATATAAGGGTAAATTGTTATTCTGGGCACGGCTGATTGTGACCAACTACAATTTGAAAGACCAAAATATATAAACAGAAGGAGGCATTAAAAAGATTTAAGAAAATTCTGAAGAAAATGATAATACCAAACAACATCAATTATTATCTTATGCAGATGGCGTGGAAAACGGTAAACAATCCAACAATCAACGAAATTTTCGACAATGGAATAGACGAAATATTAACAACAATAAGCAATATAAACATAATCATAATAATCCTAAGCATGAAAAAGATATGTACAACGAACTATTATGTTTGAAAGATCCGATTAACGCTCTCAATAATAGTTTAACGCCAAAAAAACAAACTAAAAATATTAATACGAAACAATCGACGTCTGGTAATGTGATTAATAAGGCAGTAGTTATTAATGATAACGCTAAGAGACTTCATATGGAAACGAGCTCTTTAGATAATGATTTGGGTATTGAAGAATTCGAAAAGAAACTTGAAGCCTCGAACAAACAAGTTCAACAAAACACTACTATTCTTCAAGATGCCGCATCTAAACTCACTTATACTTTAGATGACGATGTTGAATTAGAAGACTAATTCATCATCATTAATATCTCTTTTAAACATATTTTATGAATTATGATGAACAATCAAAAATAAAAATTAAAAATATAAAAATAAAAATCCAAAAATAATTTTTCTCCTGCCTCTGATTCGTTTAAAAAATTTAAAAGGAGGCAAATAATGGCATATTTTTTTTAATATAGGTATAATTAATGTAATGCACTTACAAAAGAAAAATAACAATTTTTAATAGATTATATCAACAAAATCGACAATCAAAAATTGTATTACAACACAAACAAAATAAATGTACATCTTTTTTTACGAATGATATAAATCAATCACCATGCAACAGCAAAATTGAGAATATTATTTTGTAATGGTAACTTATTAACTCAATTAAACTGACCTCAACAGATTAAGAATTTTGTTAATATCCGATAACAATTTTTCTTGCCAAGACTTGGAATTTAGAACCATTTACTAATCTAAGATATTTATATTTGGGCATAAGCAATAAGGATAATATTCAAAGAGGTATTATCGTTTTCAAGGAAGTTTGAAGCCTTTAAGAAATTTGAAAAATTTAGTAAAATTAGATATCTATGAAACAGACATTGATAGTGGTCTAGAATATTTACCAAGCAATTTAAAATCTATTATTATTAATCGTTCTGAACCGTACCGAAAGAAGCAAAAGTCAATCAATTGTTTTCAAGTTTAAGACCTTATCACAAACAAAGTTTTTCAATGATAGTTACTGTACTGATTTTTATGATATGCAAGAGTTGAGAAAGGCTAATGAGAAATTAATAAAAAAAATCAAAGAGGAAACTACGAGTGAAAAGAAGCCAAAGAGCAGATTTCACAATTGCAAAAAGGAGCTAGCTGAAGAAAAAAAATAGAAAATTGAATAGAACGATAACTAAATAATTTGTAAATTAGTGAACAGCCAATTACCCAAGTTGTTCAATCTACTTCCCAACCTTGGAATAAATAAACATGTCCTACTCCGGTCGAAAAAACTAAATTCGAAATTTGTCAAAAAATATAATTTGTTAACAAGGCAATAATTTATTAAATAAATAATTAAATAAATAATAATATATACATTAAATTTATTTTTTATACTTTAAATTATAATACATGTAAAGATTGCAAATAAAAATGAATATTAATTCGATAATTCCTTTTACAATACGGTCTATATACTGTACCAGCTGAGTTAAGTAAAGTGTGATTTAGCAAACCAACGAACTACAAAAACTCTATATTTTTTGTAGAGTTACACCTCTCGAATTTTTGAATATGAACCCCACCCAATTAAAACAGTTTAAAATAAATTGTTGGTTATCATAACTGGTCACATGACCTATGCGTGTCCTTCGCTATCATACGCTCCGTAATTAAAGAACGATGATTTATTAATTATTCGCTAGGATTGAATTTGATTAAGTAAACTCTTTACAAATTGACAAATATTGAAATACTATAATAATTAATTTTTTCATCAACATACTATTGAGTATTGAGTATAGTAGTATTTGATAAAATTAGCATAATTATATAGTATCTACTAATAAAACTATACTTCACGTTTATTTTGAAGGATTAAAATCAAATTAATTTTAAGAATGTTGCCGTAATTATAAATTAAAAAAATTATCAAAATTATCGAAATCATAAGTATCATTTTCATTTTCATCGTGAGGTTGGTAAAATTGAGGGAAAGGTGAGGGAGAGAGAGGTTGTGAGAGAGGTGAGGGAGGGAGAGGTTGTTCATAAAATGGAGGGAAAGGGGAGGAAGGGAGAGGGAAGGGAGGGAAATGCTGCCGATTAAATGGAGGGAGTAGGGGAAAGAGAGGCTGTTGATAAAATGGTACATCTTCTGAAAGGAACGGTTGACTAATGATGGATTTGTTTGTGGTGGTGAAATACCTCTACTATCAGCAGCTTCAAATTGACTATTTCTAGACACCGTAAATGTATGAAGTTCTTCAAGTAAATCCTTAGTGTCGGGTCGTCTTTCCGGATCATCATCTAAACATTTTTGCATCAGTTCGTAATAGCGTTGCGGATCGTTCCTCGATACTAATTCCCGCATTAAAACACCAAGACTGTAAATATCTGATTTGATAGAAACTTTTTCTCCTTTCAAAATCTCAGGAGAAATATGTCTATTATTTTTATTTGCCTCATCAGTTTTATAAAATTCTCCACTATAGACACAAAAATCCAAATCAGAAACATATATTTCTAGCTCATGATTCAAATCATCTTTTTGAAGTAATATACTTCCCGAGTGAAAATTACAATGTACATAGTTTGTCTTATGAATGTTATGAAGAAGTTCTACAATTTTTTTTAAGATTGACAATCTTTCAAACCAACTAAATGGAAATTTATTTTGAATATATTTTCGTAATTTCACAACATTTGCGTATTTCAATACCATCAAATAATAAGATTTAGTGGATTTAGATTTAGTGCTTGAAACTTGAGTAAATCCGGTAAATCCATAACAATAAATGATAATATTTTCCAATTCTAAATATAATTTTAGTTTATTAATATTTAGACATCTAAGTCTTCGTAAAATTATTTTAACTGGTCCCTTTCTCTCCCATTGTTGAGATCTGTCGTCCCATAATTCTCTACTTCCATCTAACCAAGTTGCAGTAAAAAATCCATCTTCTATATCTTTTATAACTTTTATATCTTTAAATTGATTAAATTTAATCCATTCAAAATACGTATTATTTTTTGTTGCACTAAGTTGGGAATATTGAATGAGTTCATCGAGACTTTGGTTTTCGCTCGTCCAATTAGAAAAATCTTCTTGAAATCTTTGAGATTCACAACTATTACACCAATTTTGATCTGTGAATTTTGAATCACATCTTTTGCAGATTACACTATTTGTTTGTATGATTAGATCATCAGGTAAGATACACCCTAAAAAAAAAATAATAAAACTAATTTAAATGGCTAATAAAACACTATTCCCATTTTCAATAAAATTATAATAATACCTGATGTACCAGGAGATGGTGATGGGGAACATGATGTATATTCATCATCTCCTTCAAAAACTGGTTCAAGTGACATGGATTTCAATTGTGAAAGAACTTCTTCGATTAAAGGTCTAGAATTTGGTTCTATTTCCCAACAACTTGTATAAATCTGCTTGTATTCCATTGGAGTTCCTTTGACAGATTTTTCTTTTAAACCTTGACAAATCTTAAGAGACAAATCCAAGATTATAGTTTCTCCAGGAAAAGGCTCACGACAACTTGAAATTTCCCATAATACCATTCCTAAACTATAAATATCAGACTTTTTATTCAATACATATTTTGTTTGATTTAATTTTTGCGGATCAATAAATGGTACCATTCCAAAGACACCATTATTAGTAGATGACATTGTGCCATTTAAATTCTTGGATAATCCAAAATCTGATATCTTAATATTTCCTTCGTTTATAAGTATATTTTTGGTATGCTAAAATATATAGAGAAAGTATATTACATTAGTTCAGATGTCTTTAAACATTCCATTCCTCATATTTAAAGATTATTACCAGATCACGGTGTATGATGTTCTTTTCATTATGAAGATAACGAAGTCCTTCTGCGATTTGAATTGCGAGACGTTTTCTTTCTTCCCACTTAAATTCACCTTTTCCAAATTTTTCGATGAATTCACGTAAATCTCCTTGTTTTGCATATTCCAGTACGAGATAATGCCCTTTATGCTCATCTTTATATTTTACAGAATATATTTTATAATTTATGAATATTGAAAAAAAAGTTACAAATTTGAAACAGTATTGTAATGATTACCTCGGCTTATTCCATGGAATTGAATTATTCTTTCGTGTTTTATTTGACTATGAAGTTTTAGCTAGTAAAATTTATAAATCGTATTTAGTTTTAAGTAACATAAAATAAATTTGGATATTATTTTAATTTTAAATACCTCTTTAATAAAACGTATAACCTCAACTTCAGCATCTATAGTTATTTTCTTAATTGCTACGGTTCCTATGGAATCACATTTAGTCTTATAAACTCTACCAAACGCGCCAGATCCTTTTTCTTTTTTCTTCTCACTCAGTTCTTTATAAAGTATTTCTTTAATTCCATATTCTTTAATAGCAGTTTGATACCAATTTTCATTAATCATAATTAAAGAATAAAATTTAAGTTTCTATAGATAAGCTCAATTCTTACAATATATATATGTAAATTTACGCCGATTATTTTCTTTATTTCCTTTACTGATATGATGCTTCATTTATCATTGAATTATTTCTAAATTAGGCCCTTCATTATCTTTCTTATTTGAATGACATGAAACATCAAAACTTACATTTTTACGCCTAGATAAAGATCCAATTAATTAAAAATTTATAACAATTTTTCTATTGGATATTATCCATGTCACACCGACTGTTAAGATTTTTTAAATGACTCAACCTACGTTACAAAAAAACCAAATTGTTTGCTTAAAAAGAATTGCGAAAGAGGCAAGAGAACAAATAATCTCATGTTAGTTTCCTAAAGAATTTTAGTTATTCAGAATTTCTTTTTTTTCAAAATCTTGTGCGCCGAAAATTATTTGAATATTCATATATGGAATTATTGAGTAATTTTTTTTTTATGGCTTTACTGTTATTAGGTTATTAATTCCGGAAATATGAGCCTTTTACGGAAAAAAAGACGGAATATAAAACACGTCCAAAAACGCTGCTGCTAAAGGCTTACATTTTAATGAGGTTCATTGAATGACTAAAATATACTTAATAACGCAAGTAAAAAAAATATTATGAAAATTTTATTTTCCAGGTAAAATTCCTATAATCATTTTCTTTTACGAGAAAGAGACGCCCGATGAAGAAATCGCACTTGTTAATTTTTCATAAAAGAATATAAATTCTTAGTTTAATATTTATTTAGTATAAAATTTTTCTTAACGTAATGTAATAAATTTGAAATTCTACAATAACACGAAATAAAATTAGCAACCTTATATCACGGAATTTATCGAATCATTTGCATTTTCTGTGAATGGCTCATTTTTACGGAGTTTTTACAGAAATGACGGATAAAATTTTTTATAGGGTAATCAAATTAAGCTAGTAAAATCATATAATCTTCCATCAACCATTTCATGAGGATTGAAGTAATTTGATCGTGTATTTTCTGATCATTATCAAATTTCAATTATACAATTTGGCGTACTCCATTAATTATATCACGAATCAACTTATCCTCCTCGTCAATTTCATAATCAGAATATGGTTCATCTCCTGATGCCAATTCCCACATCGGACTTCAACATCTATTGCTACGTTTCCTATGGAATCACATTTTGTCTTATAAATTTTATCAAACGCGCCAAATCCCATTTTTTTTTCTCCTCACTCGGTTCTTTATAGAGTATTCTTTAATTCCATATCAGCTTGATACCTGTTTCATTAATTATAATTGAAAATAAATTAAAGTTAATTGAAAAATAAATTAAAGTTTCCACAGATAAGCTCAGTTCCCACAATATAATGCAAATTTATGCCGATTATCTTTACAGATTTGATGCTTCTATTGGATATTATCATATCACACCGACTGATAAGATAAATAATTCATATAATCTATGTTACAAAAAAAAACAGTGTCTAAATGATTTCCCATCTTTTTTTCAAGATCACGTGCATCTGAAAATTATTTGAATATTCATATATGAAATTATTGAGTAATTTATTGATTTTACTGTTACTAGTTTGCTAATTTTACTTCGTGTTATTGTAGAATTTCAAATTTATTACATTACATTAAGAAAAATTTCATATTAAATAAATATTTTAAATATATATTCTTTTAAGAAAAATCAACAAGTGCGGTTTCTTAATCGGGTATCTCTTTCTGAAGTAAAAGAAAATGATTATATAATTGTAATTATTTATACTTGGTTGAAAATTATAAATATAGAATTTTACCCGGAAAAAAAAATTTTTATAATATTTACTCTGCGTTATTTAATATGATATTTTTGGTCATTTATTTTTTGTTCAATAAATCTCATTAAAATGTAAGCTTTTAGCAGTTGCGTTTTTGGTTCAGAATGAAATGAAAGATTTTTTAGTAAATCTATAAATTGCTTAAACTTCTACAACACTAATTGTTTCGGATAGTCTAGTCTCAAGAAGTTGAGTGTGTCATATTGTTAATAAAAATAACGATTATATTTTATTTATATCATAGCAATTTGATTAGAGATTATCATGGAACGACGGACAATGAGTAAGAACAAAACCAATTTAGGTAATTTTTGTGAGAATTTTGAATCAATTCTCAAATTGTATTTAAAAATTAATAACGATATTTCTTCTGCATAATAGAAACTAGAGAAATTTATTTTATATTGAGCTTGATTCATTCAAATAGCATACATATCAGGAAGGAAGTTTTTAAGATTTATTATTTTCAAAAAAAAAAATCTTTAACTATAATTTTTTATTTTCGGTATATTAAAAAAAAAAAAAAAAAATCCCGAATTCCGATGATTATTATTTTTATTGGCTAATTTAAGTGTAATATAATTAATATACTTATTAAATTTTAAATATAAATAATTATTTATATAATAAATATTAAATATGTAAATATTTTTATAAATCCAATTGTTTAATGATTGTCATTCATCTAATAACCCTTCGCCATTAAAATATAAGCTTTTTTCAATAGCATTTTTTGGCTTAGGTAAGCTAAAGTCGAACTGAAGAGACCTATTAGTAAACCTAAAACTAGTTGTTCCAGCATAAGCTTCCGCAACATTAATTGATTCTACAACTATTTTGACATTATCCTTAGTTAATTGACTAGGCCTGGTTCCAAGAGGTTGACCACGTACTCGACGATCAGCAGCTTCAAACTGATGCTTTTTAAACGGAGCTGTAGTAAATGCGTGAAGCTCTTCAAGTAAGTTTAGAGTGGTAGGTCGTTTTTCTGGATCAGCATCTAAACATTTTTGCATCAATTCATGATAACATTTTGGAGTTCCAATTACATTATTTGGACGTACACCATTAATTATATCAAGAATCAACTCATCTTCATTATCAATTTCATAATCGGAATATGGTTCATCTCCTGATACCAATTCCCACATTATAATACCAATACTATAAATGTCTGATTTAATAGAGGTTAAGTTTCCATTTTCTACTATAACTTCAGGAGCAATATATGATAAATTACCATACAATTGTTGTACTGGTTCAGAATTTAAATTAGCACATGAATCTAATTCAGAAATATATACTTCTAAATTATTATGTTCTTTCAGAATTAATATATTTCCTGGATATAAATCACGATGTATATAATTTGCCTTATGAATGTTATGAAGACCTTCTATAATTTTTTTTAATATTGACAATTTTTTAAACCAACCTCTACATGGAAATTTTTTCCGAATATATTGACGTAAATTTCCGCCATCTGCATATTTTAATACCATGTGATAAGATTTAGTTTCCAGATCTTGTGTGAATCCATAACAACGTATGGTATTTTTAATATCTAAATGTAATCTTAGATTATTAATTGTCGAATCGAATCTGAATTTTCGTAAAATTATTTGAGCATCTTTTGTTCTCACCCATTGTTGAAACTCAGTATCCCATACTTCTCTTATTCCATCTAACCAAGTTGCAGTATAAATTTCACAATATGAACCTTGTACAATACGTTTTATATTTGTAAATTGATTATAATCAATCCACTCAAAATAATCATTATGGTTTGTTGCGTTTAATTGAGAATCTTGAATAAGTTTATCAAGATCTTTATCTCCACATGTCCAATTAGGAAAATTTTCATGGAACACTTGAGCTTCACACTCACGACACCAATGATAATTCTTGAATTGTATTTCACATTTTTTGCATATTGTATTTGTTGATAAAAATGAGCTTGCTAAGTTCTCAGAAATAGCCAGAGAAGACAGGGAAGGAGAATATCCTAAAAAAATAAAAATAATAATTAATTAATTTAAATAAATAAATGAATAAATAGAAAAAATTAAAAAAATTATCATAATAATACCAGAAATAAAATTTTTTGAGGTATCAGAAGGTGGTAATAAGTAAATTGAATTTTTATCATCATCCCCTTCAAAAATTGGTTCAAGAGACATGGATTGCAACTGTAAAAGAATTTGACTGATTAAAGGTCTAAAATCTGGTTCTGATTGCCAGCAATTAGTGTAAATCTTCATATAATCAATTGGAGTTCCTTTAATTAATTCTTCTTTAAATCATGACAAATATCAAGATATAAACGCCACTCCTCTTTATATAGAGGAAAAGGCTTACGACAACTTGAAATTTCCCATAGTACCATTCCTAAACTATAAATATCAGATCTTTTATCTAATGGAACATTCCTATTATTTAATTTATGCGGATCAATAAATGGAATAATTCCAAAAAACTTATTACCAGATGACATTGTACTTTCTAAATTTTTAGATAATCCAAAATCCGATATCTTAATGTTACCATCATTAATAAGAATATTTTTCGTATGCTAAATATTTATAAAATACGTAAATACATTTGTATAAATATCAAATACATAACTGATAACGACATGTTAGCAAAAAATTATTACCAAGTCACGATGTGCAATATTTAATTCATCATGAAGATAACAAAGCCCTTCCGCAATTTGAGTTGCGAGGAATACCCTTTCCGTCCATTCAAAACCGTTTTCATTACAGTTTTTAACATTGATATATTCACGTAAATTTCCTTGATTTGCATATTCTAATACTAAATAATATAATCTTTCTTTAACGTCTGTAATAATTTATATAATATTAGAAACGCAACTTGTACAAAATTACAATAGCCAAAGAATAAATTTAATGCTAACTTACTTCGGCTTATGCCATAAAATTGAATAATTCTTCCATTATCAATACGATTATAAATTTTCAACTAAAAAATTTGTTAAATTTTAAATTTTTATTTTATTTTATTTTTTTTTTATGATTCAAGTAAAGAAACACTTTATATACCTCATTAACAAAAGTTTTTATAGTGCGATTTTTACAATCATCTGAAGTTATATTTACTTCTTTAATCGCTATTAAAATTCCTCCAAGGGATTCACATTTTGTTTTATAAACTATGCAAGAACCTTGACCTATTCGTTCTTTTTCATTACCAAAATTTTCAAGTATTTCTTTAATTCCATAATAATTAATAGCGGTTTGATAAAAATCTTCATTTAAATTGTTTGAATTCATAATTGCAGAATAAAAGTTTTTCATTTATTACAAATATCAAGTATTTTTATTATTATTATTATTTTCAAGTACAAAATACGTCATAAATTTTTTATAAAATAGAAGTTACTTAAATATTTTTGTGGTTTCAGCCAGCAGTATTTGAATCACTCCAAAATAAGAAGTAATTACAAGACACCTTTGAATTTATTTCTAAATGAGGTTATTCATTATCATGACTTTTTTGAATTACTTCCTTTTAAATAAGGGCACATCAATTATCATTTAAACATTATTATTTCTAAATAAAGATCCTTACAATGTTATTACGAAACTTCCTTTAGACTTTGACCTTTTGCTAAATAAGAACGCATTAAATGTTTAAAATTTAAAAAATAATCGTAATTAATAACTAAAAAAAAAATAATAAATAAATGTCATTGTTTATATTCCTTATCTTAACTATATAATTTATATGACTCAAAAATTTTGTTTCTAAAGAATTCTTTTATTCATTTTATTCAAATAAAAAAAAAAAAAATTTTTTAAGTTGGCCAATCATATTTTTCGTTGATATCGTTTTTATTGGCTCAATACTTCAATCCCGATCATCATCACACAAGCAGCCACATAGTAAAATCGTGTACAAGCGTAAATATTGATTATATGATCGCTTTCATTATGTAACCTTAACGCTTTTATTAAAATAAAGTATCATGTTGGCATATATAAAAAGAAGTGTTTTATGGTAAAGTTCCAGGATATATTAATATCGATCTCGTAGATTTTGAATTAAATTAACATTAATCATAATAATTAGTTAATTAAATCAAGAATAAATAAAACTAAAAATTTCTTACATTGATTATTTTCTGATTATTTTTTCAAATTATTGTTCTTTGTTTTATTGCTTCAATATTTTCTTTACATAATCAATTTTATCTGGATAAATAATTTTAAATTCTTACATTCAAATAAATGTTTTCCAATACTAGGAACTGTATTTTTCTTAGAGCTTCCTAAGTAAGGCCTTTTATAGCTAGTATGCATCCTTTACATATTGCTTTAATGTCGTCTTTATTCACGATTTGATGTACATTTTTGTAAAAAAATTTATTCTCTTAAAAAAAAAAAAAAACTTATTAAAAACATTTTCTGAAAAAAAAATTATCAATCAGATGTATATTAATAAAATATGTTACACCGAACAACTGAAATTCGAAATCATTTGTAGACTTCTTTGGGAACTTGTCCCCCGAAGTTTTTTAAATAACTACATCAATTTGTGAAATAATTTTGTGTGATAATCGATGAATTAACATTATTTAATATCATGTGATTGTGAGAATATTTATGATGCCATAAGTTCGTACCTCTCATTTATACCACGGAAATTATAAATGAAGACGCATAAAAATAATTTAGATGTATTGATAAATTTTACTTGTAATTTTACCCGTAATTAAAAATTGTGGGCTAAAATTTTAATGTCTTAAGTCTTAACACGTGATCCAGATGAGCAGATCATATTCATAATTAGCAATTACCTTTCAACAGGACGTTTCGTCGTTTCGTGCAATGTTTGCATAAAACATGTTTGCATAAATTAGTGACGGACTAATAATAATTTATTGCAATACGGAAACCGTTGCTTCGTGTTTCGTTTGACATTTTTCTGTGTTCCCAATCCCTCCAAATTTTATATAAAGGAAAAATTGACATAAAAAAAAATCAAAAAAGGTACGTGACTGCGTGTTTAATTTTATTTATTTATTTTTTCTTTTTATTATTTTCTTTTACCTTTCTTCCTCTAATTTATTATTATATTACGGTGATATAATTTTTATAGTATATCAGTGCCACATAAAAATATGGAACGATTAAATTATCACAGTGAAAGTGAGTGGATTAATTGGCTTGATGAAGCAATTAAAAAGGAATATATAAAACTTTTTAAATTTGATCAATTTGAGAATATTAAAATTATTGGTTATGGCGGATTTGGTAAAGTATTCCGAGCGAAATGGAAAAATACGGGAGATGTTTTTGCTTTGAAAGAATTTAAATATGATATGGCCGTTAAGGAAATCATCAATGAGGTAAAGTATAATTGTTCTTGTTTGATTATTGCTAAGGATGGTAATTTAAGAAATTAATTACCTTTTCAGATCTACTTACAACGTAAAGTCGATTTTCATGAAAATATCATACGATTTCTTGGAATTACTTGTGAAAATGGTAAAAATAAAATTGAATTTTCATTAGGACAGTGACATATATTAGCAAATATTATTTTCATAGAACGTTTACACCCCAGGTAAGGTTTATGACCAATCACAACCATTTCACATGGTTTATATTATGTGTAACTTAAGATTTTCTTTTTATTCCCACCACCCCTTAAAATATTAACTAATATATGTCATTGCCCTTATTAATGATGACTTATTTATCGTTAATATTGTTAATTACTAGATAATTACACTCTTTCAAAAAATAAAAAATTCATGATTGTAATGGAATATGCCGATGGAGGTTCTCTTAGAAACTATTTGAAACTTAATTTCAGTACTCTCATATGGGATAATAAATATCAATTTGCTTATCAAATTTCGAAAGCCTTGGAATGTTTACATAATGAAGAAATTCTACATTGTGACTTGGTAATTGAGTATAGTCTATATATTATTTTATATTTATATTATAATATTATCCTAACCAAGCATTTTTCTTTTATAATAGAATTCCAATAATATCTTTGTTCATCAAAATAAAATTAAATTAGGTGATTTTGGATTATCCAAAAGAATTGAGGAAATATCAAAATCTGGTTCAAAAATATTCGGGGTTATTCCTTACATCGACCCAAATAAATTTGATGAACAAAAAAATTATAAATTTAATAAAAAAAGTGATGTATATAGTCTTGGTGTAATACTTTGGGAGATATCAAGTGGAAAGCCTCCATTTAAGAATACGAAAAATAACGATCCACATTATGATATGTGGTTGGTAAAACACATTATGGATGGTCATCGAGAAACAATTGTTAAGAATACACCTAGTGAATATATTGAACTTTATACTGGTAATTTTAATGTAGTATAAATTTTTGGAATAACTTCGAAAAAAAAAAAAAAAATTATTTTCAGCGTGTTGGGATCAAAAACCAAACGAACGTCCAACTGCTCAACAAGTCGTTACGAAACTGGAAGAAATTATGTCACAAAAAAATAAAATAAGTGACAATTTTGAGGAGGATAATTATCGAAAGAAGTTCAATGTAATAAAAATACCAATACAAGTTTTAGCGATTCTAGCATACATTTGGCAATTCCGAATAATTATACTAATTCATTTCAAGAAGCATCTAATAATATTATATCATCAAAAAAATTAGAAATCGATAAAGCGAGAGACTTCACTCACGAGAAAACTCTTGGAACTAAACAAATTTTTAGGTTTCGTATACCAAAACTCGGAAATAAAGTAAAAAAACTACTAAGAAAATTAAAAATAAAGAAAACATAAATATTAGTAACTTACACATGTTAGTTATTCATAGGGATTTATAACACGTGGTGAAGGATTGATTTTTGTAAAGTAAAAAAAAACTTTAATGATTTATTTAGTGTAAATTGTAAACAACTCGTTAGAATATAGAAATTATTTATTTATACAAATATTTACTAGAACCCTTCTATTTAATATGTAATCATTAAAATTATCATGAAAATCTTGACTGTACGTAAATAATTTTTATTGGTTAATTCAATTAAATTAAATTTTACTTTATTTTACGCCATTTATAACCCTATTTAATAAATTTTTAAACGTAAATAAATAAAAAATCTATTATAAATTTCTTATATTGTAAAAACCTTCACAAATCTATTCTTTTTAATTGGCATTCCAATAAACCTTGATCATTAAAATATAAACTTTTTTCGCTAGCATTTTTTGGTTCAGATAAGATAAAGTCGAGCTGAAGAGGTTTGTTGGTAAATCTAAAACAAGTTTTATAAGCTTCTATAACACTAATCGATTCTACAAATATTTCTACATTATCTTTAGATAATTGATTAGGTCTAGCCCCAAGAGGTTGACTACGTCTTTTAAAATTAGCAGCTTCAAACTGGTGTTTTTTTAGTGGAATTGAAATAAATGTTTTAAGTTCTTCAAGTAGTTCTAAAGTAGTGGGTCGTTTTTCTGGATCAGCATCTAAACATTTTTGCATTAAATCATAATAGCATTTTGGAGTTCCAATTACATCATTTGGACGTACTCCATTAATTATATCAAGAATTAATTCATCCTCATTATCGATTTCACGATCAGAGTATGGTTCATCTCCTGATGCTAATTCCCACATTATAATACCAATACTATATATGTCTGATTTAATAGAAGTTATGTTTCCATTTCCTACTATAACTTCTGGAGCAACATATGGTAAATTACCATATTGTTGTTGTTCTATTGGAGATTTCAAATTGGCACATGAATCCAATTCGGAATTATATACTTCTACATTATGTTGTTCCCAATTATCCTCCCTATTATCTTCTTGAATTAATATATTTCCTGGATACAAATCACGATGTATATAATTTTTCTTATGAATATTATTAAGATTTTCTACAATTTTTTGTAATATTGATAATCTTTTAAGCCAATTACATGGAAAATTTTTCCATAAATATTCCCGAAAATTTCCACAATTCGCATATTTTAATACCATATAATAACATTTAGTTTCAGGATTTTGAGTAAATCCATAACAACATATAGCATTTTCAAATTCTAAATGTAACTTGAGATTTTTAATGGTTGATTTAGACCTAAATTCTCGCAAAATTATTTGAACTGGACCTGTTCTTAACCATTGTCGAGATTCGTTATCCCACTTTTCTCTTATTCCATCTAACCAAGTTGCAATATAAATTTTACAATATGAACCTTGTATAATAAATTCTATCTTTTTAAATCGATCATAATCGATCCATTCAAAATATTTATCATATCTTGTTGCGTCAAGTTGAGAACTTTGAATAATTTCATCGAGTTCTTTGTTTTCACTCGTCCAATTAGGAAAATTTTTCCGGAATGCTTGAGCTTCACATTCATGACACCAGTAATAATTTTTGAATTGCATTCCACATATTTTACATAACAAATTTGAGTCATAAATTGGACTATCTGGGGTAGAAATAATACCTAATAATAATAAATAATTAATTAATTTAAAAATAATTAACAAAAAAAAAAAAAAATTATTTTTTTTATTATTTTTAAAATTACCTATTGGAGTTTTTTCTTTTTCGGTATCAATGGAAATGGGATTATTCGAACCTTCAAAAATTGGTTTAAGAGATATGGATTGTAATTGCAAATGAACTTGATCGATTAAAGGTCTAGATTCTGGTTCTGATTGCCAGCAATTAGCATAAATATTTATGTACCCTTCTGGAGTCCCTTTAATAAATTCTTCTTTCAAACCTTGACAAATATCAAGATATAAATTCAATTCCTCTTTATAATTATGAAAAGGCTTACGACAACTTGAAATTTCCCATAGTACCATTCCTAAACTATAAACGTCGGATCTTTTATCTAATGAAACATGCCGATGCTTTAATTTATGCGGATCAATAAATGGTAAAACTCCGAAGAACTTTCCACCAGACGACATTGTACTTTCTAAATCTTTAGATAAACCAAAATCCGATATTTTAATGTTACCATCGTTAATAAGAATATTTTTCGTATGCTAATATTTAGAAAAAAAAAAAAAAATCCATAAATATATATTTAGTATAAAATTCAAACGTTTTAATTACAATATATTTTACAAAAATTATTACCAGGTCACGGTGTGCAATGTTCAATTTATGCAGATAACAAAGACCTTCTGCAATTTGAGTTGCGAGGTTTACTCTTTCTTTCCATTCAAAATCATTTTCGTTACGATTTTTTTCATTGATGAATTCACGTAAATTTCCTTGATTTGCATATTCTAATACCAAGTAATATAATTTTTTTTCAGCATCTGTAAAAATTTATATAATATTAGAGGCGTTACAAGAATTATAATAATTAAGATTAAACTAATGTTAACTTACTTCGGCTTATGCCATAAAATTGAATAATTCTTTTATTATTAATACGATTGTATATTTTTAACTAAATTTTAGATTGTGTCTTTAATTTTAATTTTTTTTTTTTGATAATTCAAATAAAGAGACAACGAACATACCTCAGTTATAAAAGTTTTTAGAGAATTATAATCATTCGAAATTATATTTACTTCTTTAATCGCTACTACAATTCCTTCAAGGGATTCACATTTTGTTTTATAAACTAAAGAAAATGAACCTTTACCTATTAGATCTTTATTGACAAAATGTTCAGTTATTTCATTAATTTTATATTCGAAAATAGCAGATTGATACCAATCTTCATTTGAATTCATAATTACAGAATAAAATTTTATACATTAATGGTTCAAATTCTTACAAGAGTATACCCATATATATATTATTTTTCTTATTCCAAAATAAGAAAATGTTATGATTTTAATCAACTTTGAACTTATTTCTAAATAAAAAATACTTCATTTTAGTGAATTACTTCTTTCTAAATAAGAACATTTCATAATTATTAAAATTTGAAAGTCATAGAATTACTTCTAAATAAAGGATTATTCATGTTATTATCTTGATACTAAATAAGAAAATATTGCTACGGTTTATGAATATCTTATTATTAGCCACTGTACTACTTAACATTTACATTTCCAAAATATTTAAAAAAAATTCCGAATACTAAAATAGATGTATTTTGAATGTACATTCACTAATATTTATATCGCACAACAATTTTTATGACAATAAAAAAATATTTGAAAGAAATAATCAATCATTACAATTTCTACTAAAATTAACATTATCCGTCAGCTGGTGACGAACTTCATTACTAAATATGAAAAGAGGATTTTAAGGTATAATTGGGTTCTTTAGCAAATTATGGCTTGAGAATTGAATTCTTAATCAAGAATTGTGTTATCCCTGAGTTCAATTGAAAGTTTATTAAAAAAATACATTTATAATTAAAATTAAAAAAAAAGGATTGGTGAAAATTAGCACATAATCTGTTCAATTAACAAACTTAGGTCTAAAATTATGTAGTTGGCATAATATTTTAATTTAACAATATATAAAAATCTTACTTCCGACACTACTTCTAAACTCTTAAATAAATACGTTTCAATTTTATAGGAAAAATAATTTGGAACTAGTATCGAGAATTTTTTTACTTGAATCATGAATAAACTGAAAGTAAAAAAGAAAGGTATATTTCTTTAATAAAATAATTCGTTTTATGAACTAATGTTATTGTAAATTATACTGTATAAAGATTATTATATCAATTTTAACATTATTCTTTAAACATTTGCCAGACAAGTTAAAATCACGTGCGTAACAGCACGTGATTTCAATGGATTAATATTCATTAATATATTAAATTGGAATTACAGTACATTATTAAAATATACTGTGAGTATACTTCTCGCTTATTATATATGAGTTGGAGCAAAGCATGAAATGTGAAGGGAAGAATTAACGCGGTTGAAAAATTACTCCCTAATTGAATTCGAATCGATTGGAATAAGATTGTAATATTATAAAAATTTTCGATAAATCAAAAAATAATATTTCTAGAAAATCCTTAAGATAAAAAAATATTATTAATTACTTTGGCGATATAAAAACAAATATAAACTTACAAGATTTAATCCATCTTCCGCATCAAGAGCTAAAGGAGGAATAGAAACATATATTCGGTCCTGAAATGTTGGAACATTAAAAAGATCCTAATTAAAATATGGAGTAAGTTTTAATTCGAACACTACAGTCACTACTATCGATCAAAGAAATTTATTCCCTTAATTTAAACTTTACTATATCACTAAATCTATTTTCATTATCGTTTATCTCTCTTTTTCTTTTTTTAAAGACTGAAAGCAATAAAAATTCTGGCGATAATATTATCATTAAAAATCAATAAATCAATAATACATCAATATATTTTAATGGAATATATTTTAAATATTAATTTACAAATAAATGCACAAGTATTGTATACCCTATTGTAAGTCTTTATTTTATATAATCGTGTTTATAAGACTCATTTGCTTTAATCACACCTTTTAATGTTTTAAAATAACTTGCATCCAAATAAAATTCTTCCAACATAGCCTCTAGTCTCTCAATCCTACCTTTTGTAGTTATTTCCAATATTTCGATTCTTTTCTTTGTATCATTTTTGTCTACATCTTTGTATAAGACTTTGTCATTTTCGTCTGCATTTTCGTTGTTTGGAAAAGAGGGAAAGGAATCAACCAAAGAAATTTTAGCCCTAGAAACATATCGTTTAGCTAATTTTCTTTCATATTCTCTGCGAATATCCCAGCAACACATGTAATTTTGTGTGAGGCCCCTATAATTAAGGCAACAATAGAGCAATGAATCACAACGTTGTTTGAAATGTCCACTAACTTAATAAAACGGTAACACAAAATGTCCTTATCCGCATCAAAAAATATCAATAGCTCAATAGCTCAATAGATATACATGTAATCCAAAAAAGTAAAATATTAATTTTTTTTATCGGTTTATTTGGTCAAATATCGTAATTTTAGAGATTTTAAGTTGTTTTGATAATCAATAAAGGGGGGGGGTTTATATTTTAGCTAATTGGCATCTTATCTTAATGAAACTCTAATTTACTCTATTCAAAAATAGTTACATTAAATTTAATGAATCAACTAAAAAAAATTATTTTTTTTTCAAATTCCTGAGAAAAAGTTTAATAAAAAGGGAATTAAAGTTGAAAATTTTCTAAATATTGGCTCATATACAAAAACAATATGAACAATCGTTAACAAGTTTTTCGCATCGTATTGTGTTTATGTACATCCTGAAAATGAAAAAGTTCGTATACATGATGATGATCTTGAAATTTGAGTTTGTTGTCTAATATTATTCTTTCATTGGTTTGTTGATTTTACTTAACAAGAAATATCAAAAATTTCAATCTTTCATCTTGTAATTCTGATCTTTTTTAATTTGTCAGCATTAATATTATAACATTCCAATTTAGTAGTATTATAATATGCCATGCATAACTTGTTTAATCATTCTCATTGATGAATATTCAGATCTCCTCTTTTAAAAAATATACTTAGCTAAACTTCGATCTCAGTTTTTTTTTAAAAAACCATAAAATATTCTGGGTTAAACCCAATTTTACCTGATTTAAAAATAAAGTTTGTGTAATTGTCAAAATTAGCCTAATTTTTACCGTTCTTATACTAGTAATTACAGCGATCATTTATTTTACATTATTTAGAATTTTACCGTTCTTATACTAATTTATATAGTGGTCATTTAATTTGGTGAAGATGGCTGAATTATATTTTACATTATTTAGAATGTAAATATATAATTGCAAAAGGGTTACTATTATAACTATTGTAATTACTTGAATATTCTTTAGATTTGTTCGCGAATGGTTCAATTGTAATTTGTAAAAGTAATTTTGTAATCCAATTTAATTTATTACATTATTGCACGATTTTAAAGTCCATTTGAAATTAAAGAAACGTGTAAACTCCGACATTCTTCTTATATAAAAACTCTGATTTTAATAACTCACAAAAAAAAGGAGAATTATTTTTAAGAGTTTATTTATATGGAAATGAATTATTAATAAATTTATGTTGAACGCAAAAATTGCTTTAGATCCATATTTTATCTCAGTAATTATTAAGGCTATAAAAATAAAATTTAATCCCATTAAATTCCTATTATTGAAAAAATTTTAATGAATATAAATTTTATTGAATTTACTAAAATACGACAAAAATGGGATAATGCTTAGTATGTTGTTTAAAGCCCTTCAGTTATAATGTTAGTTATCTGTGGCGTGGATAATCATACCATTTTTATCATTTTCCGGAATGTGAGTCACCATGCATGACATCCCATTTTGGACAGTCCCATTCCAAGCTATTACTATTGGGGAAGAAACTTTATTAAACATGAAAAAAATTTTTTCTTTACAAAAATCAATATTTCACCTCCCTATAACCCTTACTATGTTTCACTTATATAAGTTACAACGATATTAATGTTTTATGATTTGCTTTACTTTCAGTTTACTTAGTAGTTTTTTTACTTTATTTCCGAGTTTTGGCGTACGAAACCTAAGAATTTGTTTAGTTCCAAGAGTTTTCTTATTAATAAAACCTCTCGCTTTATCGGTTTCTAATTTTTCGGATGATATTATATTATTAGATATTTCCTGAAATAAATTATTATCTTTATCCAAAATTGTTAAATGTATGCTAGAATTACTAAAACTTGTATTGGTATTTTTATTACACTGAATTTCTTTCGATAATTGATTATCCTCCTCAAAATTGTCCCCTAATATATTTTTTTGTGACATAATTTTTTCCAATTTCGTAACGACTTGTTGAGCAGTTGGGCGTTCGTCTGGTTTTTGATCCCAACACGCTGAAAATAAATTTTATTTTTTTCGATGTTATTCCAGAAATTATACTACGTTAAAAAAGAAAATTCAGAATTAATTTATAATTACCAGTATAAAGTTTAATATATTCAATAGGTGTATTCTTAACAACTGTTTCTCGAAAACCTTGCATAATTTTTATTGCTAAACATATTTCATAATGTGGATCGTTATAATCTGTATTCTTAAATGGAGGTTTGCCACTTGATATTTCCCAAAGTATTACACCAAGACTATATATATCACTTTTTTTATTAAATTTATAATTTTTTTGTTCAAATTTATTTGGGTCGATGTAAGGAATAACGCCAATTGTTTCTGAACCAGATTTTGATATTTCCTCAATTCTTTTGGATAATCCAAAATCACCTAATTTAATTCTATTTTGATGAACAAAAATATTATTGGAATTCTATTATAAAAGAAAATGCTTGATTAGGATAATATTATAATATTAATGTAAATAATTTATTTATTATGCTCAATTACCAAGTCACGGTGTAGAATTTCTTCATTATGTAAACATTCCAGAGCTCTTACAATTTGATATGCTAATTGATATTTATTATCCCATGTGAGAGTACTGAAATTAAGTTTCAAGTAGTTTCTAAGAGAACCTCCGTCGGCATATTCCATTACAATCATGAATTTTTTATTTTTTAAAAGAGAGTAATTATCTAGTAATTAACAATATTAGTAATAAATAAGTTGTCATTAATTAAGAAAATTCAAATTATTAAATTTTATTCTTACCATTTTCATAGGTAATTCCAAGGAATCGTACGATATTTTCATGAAAATCGACTTTACGTTGTAAGTAGATCTAAAAAGATAAATAAAATTCGATTCTATCACAAAGGCTGATCTATTTACTTTTATAAAATTTGTCGAATTTCATGATCAACGTGCGCAAAGCTTTTTGTTGAAGAATTCTGAACAGGAACAATTACACTTTACCTCATTGATGATTTCTTTAACAGCGGTATTATATTTAAATTCTTTCAAAGCTAAAATATTTCCCGTATTTTTCCAGTTAGCTCGAAATACTTTGCCGAATCCGCCGGAACCGATAATTTTAACATTATTAAATTGATCATATTTATAATATTTTATATGTTCCTTATTAATTGCTTCATCAAGCCAATTAATCCACTCGCTTTCATTTTGACAATTTAATTGTTCCATATTTTATTTGAAAAATTATAATTTGTATAAAATTTTTATAGGAAAAACTGACAGCCTATAATTCCTATTATATCACGGTGATATATTTTTTATTTATTTGTATAATATTTATTGATTTTTTTTTTTTTTTATTTATTTATTTATTTTTCACCCTATTTATATAGAAAATAACGACGCTAAACATTTTTGTAAGTTTGACGTTGAACGTTACCCGGAATTTAACATTACTCTGCATTCTGTATTTAATTAATTACCAATTATGATGTCTTTATTGGTTATTCTGTATTTCTAAATTAAGCTTAAACTAAATTGTTTTCCGATTATTGTCATGATCTAAACATTTTTGTTATTTTTCTACGTAGAAAAAAATTACAATTTAAATGGTTAGTGTTTTGTTTAAAACGTACTTATTTACACAAGATTTAAAATTTGCGTGAGTTCATTTGTCTGGTGGGTAACTCAAGTGTTGAAAATGGAATTCATCCCCCGCAATTTTTTTCACAGTCACGTGATAGCTTTTAATTCTTATTCGACCAGGACCCCGGATAATTATAATAGAGGTCACATCCGCAGTACTAATTAAAAATTCAATGAAATATACATAATTTTTGCCGTTTTGATATACATTTTTATCATATGACCTTTATACGTATTAAAAATATCCTTTTTTATCATATGACTTTAATAATATTTTTTTTTTTACAATATTATATTTCATATTAAATTTATTCAGCATCATCATTTAATCGACTTTGTAGCAATAATCAATTGTAATTTATCTATAATTGAATTAAAAAAATTATAGATTGCCATTTCTTTTTTTCCTACAATTAAAAATCCCATATTTTCAGTAATATTTTCGCAATTTCCTAAATAATAATGATCAAATAACTAGGAATATGTAAAAACAAAACATATTTTGGTTCATCCATTGGAAAACATCCAAAAATATTTGGAATCTGTTCTATATAAACATGTACTGAAATATAAAAAAGTGAATCAATACAGCTAGTACTATCAACATAAGAATGATAATTTGTTAATTTATGATACATAGCCAAAAATTGAACAAGTCAAATTTTTAATCCCAAAAGTGCAAATGCATAACCACCATGATTGGTGGAATTTTCTAAAGTAACATTTGCAACGCTAATGCTTAGCAAAGCTAAATAAATTATAATATAAATTATAAATTAATATAAATTTGCAAACAATAACCAGTGAATTTTACCTGATATCTTTCCAATACTTCTAAACATGTTCTATTTTGCCATCTTTTAGTTTTTAAATTTCCAGTTTTTGTGCCATCATTTTGAGCCAAAGCAACTAAGTAAATTTGATAAATTATGATAAATTTATCTAATATAAAATGTATTTTTCTCATTTGCTATTTATATTGAAAATTGATGTAACATTGCATATGATATTTCCTAAATATACGCTTTTATTAGAAAAATCACATGTGACCTTAAAATTTTGTCTAAAATTATATACTTTTTTTACTGTGACCTAATTTGGCGGTACTCTATTTTGACATGTAACTTTTTTTTAAAATACCCGTTTTTTCATATGACCTTTCCATTAAAAATGCAAAATTATATACTTTTTTTGCATATGACCTTTATTATAATTATCCGGGGTCCTATTCGACCCTTATTTGTCACTGTTATTTTTTACGTGTTAGTGCATAATGCCGTAATGCGGCCTTGTGTGCAAAATTTTGGCGGTGCGGGGGGGGTAATTCAATTTTGTTAGTTTTTTATGTTTTTAATAAACTAGGGAAGGAATTCATTAAATTCATTGGTAGTTTTTTCAACACATATATATTACTTGGCAAATAATAAAATTATTAAGAGTCTCATTTAATTATTAATATATTACTAGTTGTAACCTGTTACTTCGCACTAGGAATGCTGGCTGGAACTATATTATCGTTATATAAATTTCACTTTTTTTAATTTGTTTAACGTCACATAATAAATGCATTTTTTAAAAGATTAAATGGATTGATTTTGTATAATTATAAGATCTTTTCAACCCATCCTTCTTTTTCTATGAATGTTCCCATATATGATGCAGTTTTAATAATTCTGATCTATTTAACATATTATACATAATATTATTTTAGCTTTCTTTCACATTTACATTATTAGAATACAAAATCATTATTTAAATAAAATATTATAAAATATGAAATATAAAATGAAATTATTTTTATAAGATACCTATTGCAATAGCTGTAAATCTTTTAAGCTATCATTTGAATTTACACATTATGGAGTTAAGGATATAATACAGCTTAAAACTTGTAATAATTGTCATCAAAAACTTGAGAAAAACCAGAAAACCTTTATAGAAATAAAAAATTGCTAATATGATATTTTGTATTAATTTTTTAAGTAAAATAATTGCAAATCTCTTAGAAAATATATTATCTAATAACTAAGAATTGTTATTACATTGCTAAATAAACAATAATATCACTTTAAATAATAAAACTTTTACTAAGAAAATTGTAAACAAAATCATTAAATTAATTGAAAATACTAAATAATCAATAATATCAATAGTATTTATTATTTACAGTAATTTAACAATAATTAACATTATAAATTATTTTATTCATTTTTTAAATAAAGTTTATTATTTAGTACTATATTTTATTTTAATAAAATTATAATTTAATTTTAATTAATTAATTAACTTTATAAATTAAAAATTTATATATATAATGAAGTTTTTAATATACATAAAATATCTTTAAAATTAATATTTATATTAAAATTACTTAACATATGGGCCGATCCTTGGAATCTAATTTTTTTACACAAAAATAATTTTATTAAAGCAAATATAAATTATCCTTTATATAAGAATAATAAATTTATACCAGATAATGCAAAAAAAACTAATTAATTATATAATTTTTAATTTTTTTTTAATATAAGATATCATTAAAATTTAAAAGATCAAATATAACTCTCATGACAAAATCATTGATAATTCTTCGTAGAAATAAGCTATACAAATAAATTTACATTCATTTGAAAGAGAAAATCGAGATCTATCTAATGAATCTAAAATCA